GGAAATCTGGTGCAAACATATATGAACTCTTGGGACTGGAAGGAACTCTTAGGAGACTGAGACTAGGCTAATGTTGAAAATCAGTCTAGCTTCATAACAGATCATGGCACCCGTTGGTCTGTTGATCAGGGTTATTTTCTGACCCTTGTCAAACTGGACAGAAATGCCAACATGAAAAACTGGAGTCATGCCCCAAAAGCTGTCCGGATACACCACAAGCCATATAATTGTTGACAAGGATTATTGCCTAGTACATAGTAGGTCCTGGGTTTGATCTCCAGTACTGGAAAAAAAATAATTTAAGTTACCACATTAACATAAATTGCAGCTTTTATTAAAAATAATTATTTGGGGGACAGTGAGATGGCTCAGCAAGTAAAGGCTAAGCCTGAGAACTTGAGCTCAATCCCTGGGACTTACATGGTGGAAGGAGAGGAGGACTCATGGAAGTTATCCACACACATGGTACGGTGTATGTGCCCCTGTGCATGTATACTCATATATACAATAATAAGTGTGCTATTTTTAAAAATAGTAATTATATGTATTTAATTTTATACATTGAACAGAAAATTTTCCTGTTCTAATTTTTGCAAACTTTTTAGTAAAGTAAACCTGGGGAAGGAGGCTTGCTCTGTAAGTATGAGAATCAGAATTTGAATCTTCAGCACTCAAATGAAAAGCTACCATAGTCATATGTACTTGTAACCCCAACAAGAGCTGGAGGTGGCAGTATGTGAAAACAAGAGGATTGCTGAAGCTTCCTGGTCCACCAGCCAGCTTAGCCAAAAATGACTAACTTCAGGTTCAGTAAGAGATACCCAAGCCCAAGGATATAGGCAGAGAGTGGTAGTTGTTACACACACCCACACTCTCCTACACACACACACACAGAATAAAGATGGATTCTCAGGTTGGAGATGTAGTTCAGATGGGAGAGTGCTTGCTCAGCCTGCACAAAACTGTGAGTTTGTTGAAGTCTTTATATTCATTTTACATTAAAAATCCATTGTCTGGGCTTGAGAGATGGCTCAGAGGTTAAGAGCACTAACTGTTCTTCCAGAGGTCCTGAGTTCAATTCTCAGCAATTACATGCTGGCTCACACCCGTCTGTAATGAGTTCTGGTGCTCTCTTCTGGCAGGCATGCATGCAGGAGAACACTATATACATAATAAATAAATCTTAAAAAAAAATCCATGGTTGTACATAACTTTAATTGAAGAGGCAGGTGGATCTTTGATTTTGAGGACAGCCTGGTCTACATAGTCCCAGACCAACCAAAGCTACATGGTAAAACCCTGTCTCCAAACAAAAGTAAAAAAATAATATGAACTGGGTGATGATGGTGCATACCTTCATCTCTGTGATGGATCTCTGTGAGTTCGAGGCCAGCCTGGTCTACAGAGTGAGTTCCAGGACAGCCAGAGTTGTTACACAGAGAAACCTTACTTTGTCTCAGGAAAAAAAAAATGAATAAAATAAAATCTGTTGTGCATCTACATTTCAGATGTAATCTAAATTATTCTTTACCAATAATAATTCTGTGAAATTATGCTTTAGTCATTTGGAAAGTGAATTTCATTTATCATGCCCCCAAAATAACATTTGTTAATGACACACTGATTTCCTCAGACAAGTATTGAAACACTCTAAAACTCATGATAAGTGATACAAGTTTTCCAGAATTCTAAGTTATTTTGTATTGTTTTTTGTTCTTGAGGTAGATTCTCACTCTGTAGCCCAGGCTGGCCACAAATTCATGGTGATCCTCCTGCCTCACCTTTCTGAAGTGCTGAAAGTAGATGTATGAGCTACCATGCCTTTTAAACTTGACTTTTAAACTTTTACTCAACTTTTAAACTTGAGTTTTTGCTTGAAAGCTTGAATTTTTATCATTAGCCACAAATACTTGACTGTTTTTCTTGAAGTAGACTTGTTTTGTTTATATATTTATTTTTTGAGACAATATTTGCTAATAACCATGTCTGAATAACAAAGACATTCTTTCAGTTTAAAACTGGTATTACATGAAGAAAAACAACAACTTTTCCTTTGATCTGCTTATCCAGGAAATGCTGGTTGCCTTAGCTTACTGCTTCTTGAATGAAGCTGGTTGGGAGCAGAGACACTGGTTCCAGTGGTTCCACATCCCAGCTTCCTCTGCTCTGGGGATGTGCGCACTATAGCAGGATTCCCTGTGAGCAGCCCCGCTCTACAGAGACTCTGGCTTCACTTTAAGAGTGAGGCCATTACCCTGAAGTCTTTTGACAAGACATAAAACCAACAGAACCACTAGAATTTTTCCTTCTTCTTGTTTTGCTTAAAACTAAACAAACCTATACCCCAGAGACTCTGAAATTTAATCTAAGGTGAGTGGGAACAATTAGTTTCTGCCCAGGGATTCTGGGACTAAGAATTAGTTCGATGAGCCTTTGTGAAGAAAAAAATGCTGGGTGTTTTCGTCCACTTGATGACCATATTTTGTTCAGGGATAACAATAGAAGCTTTGAGAACAGCAAGTTGAAAGCCTAGGTTCACTGATTCAAGGCATAAGGGGCCATGTTTGCCAAAATTTAAAAAAATAACAGGAGATTGCAGTCAAAGGAACCCCAAACCAAGAGCTTATCTCAGCCATAGCATTGATTAGAAGAATCTGTAGCATTTCTAGGTCTTGGGATTCTTACCACCCTTAGCAGTTAAAGCAGAGTTGTGGGGCCAGCAAGAGGGCTCAGCAGAAAAGATTTGTATCTGCAAGGTTAATAACCTTGCTGGATTCCTGGACCCACATAGTAGAAAGAGAGTCTGATGCTGAAAGTTGGTCTCCAGCCTTCAGACATGTGCACACACACACACACTGAATGTGATTTAAAGTTGGAAAGATGACTTGGTGGTTAAGAGTGTGTACTGTTCTTGCAGAGGGACCTGAGTTTGATTCCCAGCATCCATGTTAGGGTGACTCACAACTGCCTATAATTATCTCCAATACCTCTGGCTTCCAAAAGCACTTGTAAACATACATATAATTAAAGATAATAAAATAAATATTTAAAAAATAAATAAAAATTAAAGCAGAGATGAAAATATCAGAGACAGTCAGGTATGGTGGCACACACCTGTAGTTGTAGCACTCAGGAGGCTGAGACAAGAAGATTGTGAATTCCATGGCAGCCTGGACTATATAATGAAACACCCACCTTGGGTTTTTCTAGACAAGGATTTCTCTGTGTAGCTTTGGCTGTCTTGGAACTTGCTTTGTAGACCAGCTAGGCCTCAAATTCAGAGGTCTGTCTACCTTGGCCTCTCAAGTGCTGGGATTAAAGGTGTGTACCACCACACCCAACTGAGATCTTTTCTTAAAACAAGAAAAGAAACAGAAAATCTCCTCACCTATAGAACATTGGGGCTTTGGGGGCAGCCACTCCACATTGCATGGTCCTGAAAGGTATACTAAACTTAAGAGAACACCGTGGATAGCCAGTCCCTAGTGTAGACTTGTTAGGAACAAAACAGCCAAAGAGCCTAGTTTATAAATTGAGTACTTACTGTCTTGATCCCTTTAGCTGAATGTTTTCTTCTATTGTCACTTAGCCCTCTGGGCAACTCTGGGCAATGCAGATGGTGTCCCTGCTTCAGTTAAAGCTTAATTAGCTTTCCATATGTGCTTCTTCCTTTACTAGGAAAGACAGCCTGCCCTATAGAGTGACTTTCATTAATGGCTAGTTCATTTATTTTGTGGCTTAATTTAGCACTAGAAAGAGTCACATTGTTTCCTTTGCTGGGAGCACACTGTAATCCTTGAAGACTGCCGGCTCCCATTTTTTTCCCTATTTGAAATTGGAACCACACAGGTAGAAGGGTGGGATAGAGAGGTGAGGACATACCTGCTCTATAGCAAGCAGTTCTCAGGAATGGTCTCACCAAGGCAAGCTATGATGCTGTGAGGATACTTCACAGATCTGCTGCTCTCTGCTGCACTGTCTGCACCCAAAATGAAGCTGGGTGTGGTGGCACAAGCTTTTAGTCCCAGCACTTGGGAAGGCAGGAGGATCTCTGTGAGTTTGAGGGCAGCCTGGTCTGCATAGTGAGCTACATTAGAGAGACCCTGTCTCCAAAGGAAAAAAAAAAAACCAAACACAAAACAGGAGAATAAATGAAATAAATAGCACAATGTTCTGGATGGACATAGGGCAGAGAGGTGGTTATAAGAGAACTCTTTTAGATTGTCTAGAACGTGTGGATTTGTGTGGGGCCTTTAAGGGAAATGCGGATAAAAGGCTCTTAAGTAGAAGACTCTCTTTAGCAAAGGGAGAGGTAGGTAAGTGCAGAATATTTCGGGGACTTAAGCATTTGATGTTGTGGAGTTAAAAGCAGAAGTTAAGATGTTTAACAGAAACCAGGCATAGAAGTTTATGACTAATCCTAGCACTTAGACGGCTGAAGCAGGAGGATTGTTATAAGGGCAGCCTTGACTACAATGTCAGATCTGTCAGACCCCAACCCTCCCCCCACACACTAAAAAGCAATACCAAACAAGTCATCTTGCATTCATTGTATATGACAAGTTCTTATTCGTGTAAAATTCAGTGACTACATACATGGAGCTTGTGCCACCTGTTTGGCACTGGTGGCGGCTCTTTATCACATTTCATTCTCAAAGCTGACCCTGCAAGTTAGGACTTAATCCCATGTTAGATAAGCAGAGGAGTAAGTAGGACCGGCCAGTATCGTCCAGCTTTAAGTGATAGTAGCTCAGGATGACTAGCAAAGCCTGTGTCCCCTGTACCACAGCACACCCACAGTTACTCTGAGAACAGTCACATTTGTCACATGCTCAAATTATAAGAATTCCATGTTTGATTTTGAAAGAATATAGAAAACATTTTTTAAAAATGTATGCGTGTGAATGTTTTACCTGCATATATGACTGTGCACCATGTGCATGCCTGGTTAGAGCAGAGGCCAGAAGAGGACATTGGGCACCCTGGAAATGGAGTTAAGAGATGATTGTGAGTGTCCATGTTGGTGCTGGGAATCAATCCCAAGTGCCCCGGAAGAGCAACCAGTGCTCTTAGCCATTGCCATCTCTCCCGCCCTGAGAGATCTCTGAGAAGGCATTTTTTGTACTGTGGGGTATTCATTGTGAATTGAATTATTGTTCAAAACCATTAATTAGCCAGCATGATAACACATGTTTAGTCTCAGCATTTGGAAAGAAGAGGCATGTGGATTTCTGAGTTCAAGACCAGTCTGACCTACATAGTGACTTCCAGACCACCCTTGGTCTACATAGACCCTATCTCCAAAAGAGAAAGAAAAGAAAGCCTCACAAAAATCCAACATTTTTAAAAACCCTGTTTGTTCTACTTTATAGACTGTAAAAAGATTTAAATGCATAGGACCTGGTTTTGATCTCTAGTACTGAGAGAGAAAAGATTTATTTAAAGAAGATTTTCACTCTTTTCAAAGTATTTTTTATGGCCAGACATGCTGGCACATGCCCATAATCCCAGCACTTAGGAGTAGATGCAGGAAGATGAAGACTTCAAAATCACCCTTTGAGACATAATGAGTTCAAAGCCAGCCTGAGCTTCATGAGACCCTGTCTCTAAAACTAAAACAAAGAAGAAAACCCAGCAACAACAACCCATGTAATGATTTTAGGACGCTCACGCCCAGGTGAGACGAGCTGTTGTGAAGCTCCCCATCCTGGTGCTGCCTGTGGCACTCTTGCTGTTCACTGGGAACAAAGTCCCGCTTCTACCTGCACTTACTACAACTCACCTGACAGCTTTGAGAAATGCCCTAAGTACTGTTCTCAGAAAGTCCCCCTTTGGGGCCTGTGAGATGGCTTAACAATTACAGGAGCCTGCTGCCAAGCTTGACAGCTTGAGTTCAACCCCCAGGAGAGAGCAACTTCAGCAACTTGTTCTCTGACCTCTACATGGGTGCCCAAATGTGCACACACATACACACAACATAGAAATATTTGCATTAAAAAAGTCCTCCTTTGCCTTAATTTCTCAAATCATTTTCCTCTATCACCCTTCCGTGCTTGTGGGATGACAGATGAGTTTACATTAAGCAGCTGTCTTGCACACTGAGACAACCCCTTGGCAGTGTTTCGGCTTTGTCTTTTATAGATTCTACTTGTAAAATGTCTTTTCTGGCACTCTTCTCCATGCCCCTGTACTTCCCTAGTGTTTCTTATGCTCCTGGTGTCACTTCTGGTTCCTTTCTTTTTTGAAAAACCAGGGACCCAGGTTAGTGTGATGGCAGCATGGCAGACTTCAGGCTCTTCTGATACCAGCTCCTTGTGAGAAGGTGTTGTCACATGAAACAACAGTTTACAAACACATCACCTAGTGGAGGGTAAATCTGAAAGTTATACAGAGTTGTGGAGCAAACCACCATGTAACCTAGTGGCTTAAAACAGTACCATTTACCATTCCTCCTGAGTCTACTGCTTGATGGGTATTGCTGCTGCTCTTAGCAGACCTGATTGCAGCTGGGCTCACTCACAGATCTCATCAGCTGACTCCCTTTTATCCAAGTCCTTCCTATGGGACAGGAGTCTGGCCATTCCCTCATGGTGTGGCAAAGGCACAAACAAAATCATGGCAGGCCTTCCATGCAAAGATACAAGAAGTACATATACTATTCAGATTGGTGCTATCAGCATATCTGCTAACATCCTGTTAGCCCAAAGGAAGTGACGGGGCCATGTGCAGAGTCAGTGGAAGGAGACAAGAGTTGGAAAATAGAGGAAAACTATTCATTGGGGCTATAAATATAATTAGATTCCCAGTTAGGACCCCAATATGAAAGGAAGCTTTCAAACTTAGATGACTGGATCACATTTGTGTAGGGGGAAGAAATTGGCCAAGTAATGATCTGAGCTATGGCCTGTAGCATTGTACACATCTCTGCAAGGTGGGTAGGAAGCAGAGCTCAGAGAAGTTAAATAACTTGCTCAAGGTCGTCGGCTGATCCAGGGTGAGGCTGAGATGAGATTGTACGTCTGTCTGGCCCGGAGTTTTGGTTCTTTTCAGCACCCTTACTCAGAAGAGACGAGCACCAGGGTCTGTCTTCCTGCTTGTTTACCATGTCTGCAAGCCCATCTCTAAAATCCCACTGCAGTCCAGAAACCACATGTCTGTTGTCCTTCCAGGTGAGGACTGCTCTATAGCCTGCATAGACCTGTGGCCCTTCCTAGGCTATTCAGAGAAGGAGAAGCCTCATCTCTTTATTCTTTGATATTGAGGACTTCTGAGCATGAGTTTTGGAGTCAGATTTACTGGGATTCAATCATGCACTAGCTCTGTAACCTTGGGCAACTCATTTAACTTCTTGAAATCTGTTTCTTCATCTTAAAAAAAAAATGGGAATAAGAACACCTTGTTTGCAGAGCTGTTACAAGGACTAAAGCTAAATTATGTTTATAAAGTGCCTATCCCAGTGCCTGGCACGTAATAAGTGGTGTTATGAATACTGTTAGCATCATTTCTAAGGACAGCCTTTCCCCCTCCTGGGAACCCCTGTGTCTGTGTGTTGGACAGGTTCCCCCCACCTCCAGTCAGTCTGTGCAGACTTGTTGCCTGCTGTGTCACCGCGAGCGCAAAGGCTGGGAAGAAGGCCCTTCACAAAATGGACTGGTGTTGCAGGGTGAGAAGCTGCCCCCTGACTTCATGCCAAAGCTCGTGAAGAACCTCCTAGGCGAGATGCCTCTATGGGTCTGCCAGAGTTGCCGAAAGAGCATGGAGGAAGATGAAAGGCAGACAGGTCGAGAACATGCAGTGGCGGTAGGTAACAGCTGACAGGTGACCCCTGAATGCAGGGCTGCTTCCTTCCAGGAAGTCAGGCTATTTCCCCTGACCTCAGGAAGCTCTGTCCAAGCTGCTGTGAGAAACCATCCGGCTGCACTTAGCATTTGCAAGTTGGTTTAGACCTGAGGGAAGAAGACTCCGGGCCTGTTAGTGATATAGGTAGATCTTGATCCTATTCTGTCACCTGATGCTGATACCTTCAGCCCTGAGGCTGTTTGGAAGGCCACCACTGTGACAGAGATCAGTCAGAAGGTCTGAGATGTGCCTCAGTTCGAAGACGTCAGTAATAGCCGGGAGCTGTGGAAAACAGGCATTTGTGAGCCATGTCAGCCAGACTTCTTGCTTTCCTTCCCTGTAGACTTTCATTTACTCAGAATCAATTCAGTTTCCAGGCTCCTCGCTTGTGGCTGTAAATGTAGCTCAGTGGTAGAATGTTTGTCTTGTGTGTGCAAAGCTCTGGACTCACTCCTTAGTGCTGGGAATAAAAGAAAGGAGGGTCAGAGAGACGTCGATGGAGCAGGGCCAGAGAGATGTCAGTGCTAATGCATCAAACATCTGCCACACAAGCTTGAGGACCTGAGTGTGAGTCCTCAGAACCCAGAGAAGGTCACGTGTGGTAGTGCATGTCTTTAATCCCCATGCTCCTGCAGTAAAGTCGGAAGTGGAGACAAAATACTCTTTGGAAGTTGGTTGGCCAGCTTCTTGCTTACACAATGACAAACCAACAAGGAGACCCTGTTTGAAACAAGGTGGAAGGTGAGGACCTGCATCCAAGGTTGCCCTCTAACCTCCACTTGTACACTGTGACACATGTGCATTTGTACTTACACCTGTATGAACACACATCACACACTTACACAGGTATTCATCATAAACAAGAAAGGGCTGGGTGTGGCAGCATTCACCTTTAGTTCTGGTGCTTGGAAGGCAGGGGCAGGCAGATCCCTACATAGTGGGTTCCAGGACAACCAGGACTACATAGAGACTAGAAATAAAAATAAAAAAAATAAATGAAAGACTCAGGCTAAAGATGGTTAAGAACTCTGGGGTTTGATTCTCAGCACCCACATGGTGGCTCATAAACTGGTATAATTCCAGTCCTAAGGGATCAGATGCCTTCTGGCCTCTGTCTGCATATGGTGCACAGACATACATTCAGGCAAACACATAAAATAAAAATAAAGTCTGAAAAATTTTAAAAATAAATGGAAGGAAGGAGAAAGGGGATGGGGGAGCATGAGTGCTAAATCATACTTGTGATTCATGACCTTTTGTCTTGTTGGCAGCCCTCACACTCACAAACGGCCCATGTTCATAGACAGGCTTTGCCCCATGTGAAGCTCTTTACTTGCTATCCACACAGCCACGGAACTGAGAACACGGTAGTCCCTTCCGAGTACTTGCTTGGCCCTTAATTATAATCCAGTGTGACTTGTGCTTATTGGTTCAGTCATAACCTGAGGGCCTTAAGGAGCAGGTCAGTTCCACGGTTTGACCATGAGCCTTTTTCTTTCTCCTTTCCAGATTTCCTTGTCACATACACCCTGCAAATCACAGTCTTGTGGGGGTGACTCTCATTCATCCTCGTCTTCTTCTTCATCATCCTCATCTTCCTCCTCTTCCTGCCATGGCAACTCAGGGGACTGGGATCCCAGCTCGTTCCTGTCAGCACATAAGCTCTCAGGCCTCTGGAATTCCCCACACTCCAGCGGGGCTGTGCCAGGCGGCTCACTTGGGAGTCCTCCTGCCATCCCTGGTGAGTCTTTAAGCTTCGGAAAGTACTGGGCCCCCTTTGTAGATAGCCATTTGCCTCTCTACTTTGACCCAGTCAGTAAGTAAACATGGACCTGTTCTGATGGCAACAGGGACAACCTAGACCTTGACTATCTCTAGAAGATCTGCAAGACTGTGAAGTTATAAAATGCTGCCCATAGGGAAAAAAATGTCCTCATTGCTGTCATTGGCTTAACATTGGGTCTAGGAGAAGTCCTCATACTGAGGAGCAAGTGGCCTCGGAAAGCCCTAGGAAGTGAGATTTAGATCATCTACGCCTGCCCTCTGTACCATTGACAACCTGAGCCACCCCTGCTTCCTTGGCTTCCTACATCTTGTCTACCTTAGGGATAGCTGTAGAGCACTGTATTTAACGACAGGAGACTGGCAGGTGGCATGCAGGCTACAGGAGTCTTATAAAGTAAATACTAATGCTCAGAGACCCAGAGGGAAAAGCCTTTGAATTGTTACTGTCATAATTCTTAATGGAGGATGGAGTTCTTCAAAACGGTGCTGTTCTAAAGTTATGTAAATTGAATGCATAACTTCAGTTATCTTGGTCCGTGATGGAGTCACCAGAGCTTTTTCCTACTTCAGTCAGAGATCTGTAGCCTCCTAGGAGTCAGGTGTACATACCTTGGCTGCTCTGGTCCACGTGGCCCAGAGGCAGATCCCAAGGTTGCTGTAGCTTCCTTTCTCAGGCCTAAGGAATACCTAAGAGGAGGTAGCTCCTAGAGGAACCCAGAGAAACAGCAGAGTTATCCTCTGTTCACTCCACAGCTGAGCCATAGCCTCCTTGGCTTGGGATTCTCAAACTTGTCCAACCTGCTATCCATGTCCTCTTCAGGGGCCTTATGCTGAGAGACTATGCCCTCTGGTCACAGTAAGCAGGATGATGTGGCAGTGAGCCTGTGGGCTTTCCTTCCCAGGTCTGACCCCTTTTTCTCCCCTCCACCTACAGGTGAGGCTTTCCCTGTCTCGGAGCACCACCAGCACTCAGACCTCACTGCTCCCCCAAACAGCCCTACCGGCCACCCCCCACATCCAGCATCTCTGATTCCTTCTCACCCCAGCTCTTTCAGCTCACCGTCCCACCCACATGTGTTGCCCTCCACCCCGGCAGCACCTTTCCCTGCCCAGGCTTCAGAGTGCCCTGTGGCTACTGCCACTGCCACCCACCCCCCAGGGCCTTGTCAGAGCCCCCATCTGCCCTCCACCAGCATGCCACTCCTGAAGATGCCTCCACCATTCTCTGGGTGCAACCACCCCTGCAGCGGGCACTGCAGTGGGCACTGCGGTGGGCCTCTCCTCCCACCACCAAGCTCGCAGCCACTCCCTAGCACTCACAGGTAAGTGAGTGTCGTGAAAGGCACCACTCTGTACTCACTGGAGCCAGGAGCTATGGAAAACTTGCCAAGAACACTGTTAGAATGGAAATGCGAGTGCAGATCGGGCTGGAAGAAGTAGCTCAGCGCTAGAGCACACTCTTAGCATGCATGAGGTCCTGTGCTCAACCTTGGCGCCAAATTACATAAATTCTAAATTAAGGGTTTTTTCATTATAATTTAAGTTTTGAACAATTCAGGTGTAAAAAAGAAAAGGGTCTTCACAACCTAAAGAGAAACTTCTATAACTGGCCTGCTTTCTTGAAAATACTTTGGTGTGTAAATGACATAATTAGTTCTATATTTGATAAATACTTTATGTAGCAATTTTTTATTTTCTTCATTTTGAGACAGGTTCTTTCTTTTTCCTCCCTACCCCCATAAGACAGGTTTCTCTGACCTAGTTGTCCTGGAACTTGATTTGTAGACCAGGCTGGCCTCAAACTAGAGGTCCGCCTGCCTCTGCCTCCAGAGTGTTGGGATTAAAGGTGTGCGCCACCACCACTTGGCCGTGAGACAGTTTCTTTCTGTGTAGCACAAGATAGCCTCTAACTTGTGATTCTCCTGCCCTAGCCTTCTGCTGGGATTACAGGAGTTTCTTACCACCTCTGGCCTGCATAGCAACACTTTTTAAATATCATGAGATATTTAAAAACTAAGACTTAAGTATCCGTGGTTTTTGGGTTTTGTTTGTGAGTTTTTTGTTTATTTCTTTGTTGTTTTGGGGGGGTTGTTTTTTTGGGTTTTCTTGTTATTTTTTTTTAGTGTTTCAAGACAGGGTCTCTCTATAAACCTGGCTATCCAGGAATTGCTCCATAGATCAGATTGGCCTCGAACTCAGAGTTCCACCTGTCTCTGCCTCCTGAGTGCTGGGATTGAAGGCATGCACCACCATGCCAGACTCATCTAGACTTTTTTCCCCTCTGAGGCAGGGTTTCTCTGTGTAACAATCCTGGCTGTGCTGCAATTCACTTTGTAGACCAGGGTGGCCTCAAACTCAGATCCACCTGCCTCGGCCTCTTGAGTGCTGGGATTAAAGGTGTGCGCCGCCAGCACCTGGCTTTCATTTCCAAATTTTTAACCAAGAAAAATACTGTTGTGATAAGTGTCCCAAGCCTGTGTTTGAATAGATCTGGGCCCTGTAGAGCCCTAGGAGCTCTGTGATTCTGTTGTCTGTATCTGGATGTGAATGTACTGAAGGCAGATGGTTTCTAGGTTGGCACTGTCTATTATATATCTGTGTTCCCAGGCTGAGGTTTCGCTACCCCACTGCCACCATTCTTGGCTTGTCATCCACATGTCTGTCTCATGCTGTTGATGTCAGTATCGACTTGGATCTTGCCGTTTTCACTTAGAAGTACTACTGGGTTCCAGTGTTTTGTTCTTAATTCTCAGTATTTGGGGCTGGAGAATAATAACTGTAGTTCATTTTGCTGGTCTTCAGTTGCAGAACATTTAGGTAATTCTATCATTTTAACATAACCAACATCTAAAGATATCCTGTCCTAAAGCTTTTTCCTCTTTTAAACTTTTTCATTGCTGTTTCTTGGGAGGGTTCTTAACATACATTGACAAACTGCTTTCTGCCATGCACACCTATAAGCCTAGCAACTGGAAAGTAGAGCCAGGAGGATCTAGAGTTCAAGGCCAGCCTCAACTGTATAGAAAAACCTAGAGTGAAGGGGGAGGGAGGAGAGAACACACAAGAGCCTGTGAGTGTTGAGGGTAGATGCAGCAGACCCTGAGTTTGATCCCTAGCAAGAAAGAGAATAGGTGGGGGAACTGCTTTTTATAGGATTCTCTGAATCCATGTAACCACCAATAAAGAGTAGTGGTCTGTCTGTATCTTCAGAAACACTGGATATTTTAATTTTCCTAAAAGGTATTTTGCTTACTGTAATAGAATTGTGAACTTGGAATGAACTATAGGCACCATTGGCAACAACTTCTGCCTTTTTCTAACCCCTACCATGTGTTTGCTGACCTTTCTAACAGCAGACTTGGGTTCCACTGGCCTGTCCTAGACTGTCACTTAATTCTTATTTCCTCTGAAACATGGGACCAGCTTCTACAGTGCTCCAGCTGCTGCTGACCCGTCATAGGGCTCTGGTTCTTCCCAGCTCTGATTCTGGGACCTCTCAGTCTGTCTCATCTTTACCCTAGGAAAATGTTGTTTGTAAGTTGCCCCAACTTATTGCCAGAGTCCAGAGACAGAATGTAAGTGGAGAAAGCATGGACTCTGTACACAGGAAACATAGGTTTGTGTTTTACTACCTGCTGGACTGTGCTCTGAGCCTCAGTCTCCACAGCTGTTAAATGGGGAGTGGCGCTGATTTTTGCAGGACTTCAAGGATGGCTAGATGACGTGCTGAATATGTTTCTGGGTCCAGGCAGTGGTTCTTGTAGTCTATAGTCCCCAGGAGGCACATCTGATTTTCCTCATCACAGAGCTCTTGGTTAAGGAAGCTCTCTACCTGCTGACGCAGATGCCAGGTGCAAATGTGTGTGAGGACCCTGGGAAAGTAGGAGTAAAACTGTTTTCATTGATCATTTGGGGCTGCATCAGAGCCATCAGCCCATGAGTCTGTTCAGATTCCTGATCCCTAAGCCCTTGGGGTGCAGGATTGCCCTGCTGTGTGATGGAACTCCTTCAGAATTTTAAGTAGCGTACTGTCTATCTACCTATTTGAAAGAAATGATGAACAGCCTATTATCACAAGGCTTGATAAAACAGCAAGCTAGAGAGGTATCCACACAGTGCCCTCAGAGAGGTGTATGCAGGAAGCTTACACAGAGTCAGTCTTTGCACTGTGACGGCCTAAGAGGCAGTAGAGACTTCTCAGGCTCTGTTCTTTGCAAGAGACCCTGATGTGGCCAGTGAAGGGCAGTGGAATGGTGGCTGGGGATTGGGACACTTTTCTAGGCTCCTGCTGTATTCTGTGCCTGCACCACTTACTCTCACCTCTGGGCCCTTCTCCATTGCAGCAGGGACCCTGGGTGCAAGGGGCACAAATTTGCACACAGTGGCCTGGCCTGTGAGGCAGATGAGGGTCTGGGCGAGGAAGAGGATAGCAGCTCTGAGCGCAGCTCTTGCACCTCGTCCTCCACCCACCCACGCGATGGGAAGTTCTGTGACTGCTGCTACTGTGAGTTCTTCGGCCACAATGCGGTGAGTGAGCCTGCCTGGGCAGAGAGGGCTGGGCAGCCAGGGGCAGAGGAGAGACCCCTTGCTCATGGCAGTGATTACTGCACTGGGACTGAGAGTCCTTGCACCTACATCTGCTTGCTTCCGCCTCGAGGCACATTTGTGAGGTCGGGTTTTCTTAACATTTTGTTGGCTGTGTTCTTCTCGTGGTTTCTCTTAAGATTGACTTTTTTTCTTTAGGCAAAAGGAAAGGAAGTGGCAGAGAGAAAGCTATGATTCTGATGAGTATGTATATGTGTGTAATCCCAGAGAAGTGAACGCTTGTACATGATGAAGGCAGAGTGGAAGCAAAAAGTTCCCCAAGTGTGACAGCCAGTCGAGGTACAGGTCATGAACATAGATGGCACCAAGAAAGAGGCTCAGATCAGGGTACATGCTGTCTCTAGACAGGGGAGCGATTTAAAAGTCTCAGAAGGAGAAAAGGAAAAGGCTGCTGGCTAGGGAAGAGCAGTTGAGGATAAGAGAGGTGGAAATAATTCAAAATTACTAGTCACCTTTAAGCTAGGCATTGTTATCTTCATTTTAGAGGTGACAAAATTGAGGTTCACAAAGGCTCAGTGACTTACCCAAGGTCATACAGCTTCCTAGTGATAAAGCCAGGGCTCAAACCTGCTTCCCTGGCTCCCCAGTCCTTGGTCATCGAGCTCTGCCCTCGTCTTCTACCTACCATTGCTTCAGCTCATAGCCTATTGAGGATGAAGTCATTTGGTGGCTGATGCTAGAGAGAATAATGGTCTGGCTTCTCACCACATACTTGGTGCCAGCGGGTGGGAGTGCTATGGGCCTCCCAGGCCTAGGGTGTAATGTCAGCAACTCCCCTCCCCCAGCCACCCGCTGCCCCGACGAGTCGGAATTATACTGAGATCCGGGAGAAACTCCGCTCGAGGCTGACCAGGCGAAAAGAGGAGCTGCCCATGAAGGGGGGCGCCCTGGGCGGGATCCCTGGGGAGCCTGCGGTGGACCACCGAGATGTGGATGAGCTGCTGGAATTCATCAACAGCACGGAGCCCAAAGTCCCCAACAGCGCCAGGGCTGCCAAGCGGGCCCGGCACAAGCTGAAAAAGAAGGTGGGTGTGGGGGGGAGCTCAACTCTACTGCTTCTCCTCCCCAAGGAATCTCTCACCCCAAGCCCTAAGACCTCTGGGGCATGATTGGTGCTGGCTGCCTCCCCCCCCCCAAAGAAAAAAGTTGGTATGATTCATTTGCTATGAGAAGGTCTGAATGAATCCGGGAGGCATCAGGGTCAAAACTTGGCAAGTAATTGGAGGAGGAAATGTCTCAGACACAAGCTCAAGTCCTCCAAGCTGAGGACTTGCTACAGTTGGTCATTTATTCATTCATCAAGTACGTCCACAAATACTGGGAGCCAAAATGTAACACTTAAGTTCTTACCTGAGAGAAGCTTAGTCCATTGAGAAGACTGACACAAAACAGGACAAGCACGATAGAGTGTGACAAGTACCAAGAGTGAGGGACATACCCTCTCTTGCCCATAAGTGGCTTTACAAGAGGTTAACTGACCCTCTGAGTCCCAGGAGTAAGGACAGATTCATCAGGAGGGCCTTTCTCCTGGCAGCAGGCACAGCACATCTCACAGGAGGGTGGTAAAGCCGAAGCTGAAAATAGCAGAGAAGTGGGGCAGGTAGTGGAAGTAGAAGATAGCCTCAGAGGCCCTATCGAAGAGCAGCTTTGACTTTAGCCTCCAGATGAGCGGCTGTCACCTGACAGTTGACATCAAATAGAGCTCTTGTCAGGTCTGTATTTTGATTTCAGTGTGGTAGTACAGAAGGCATGTGGGAAGATGAGGGCAAGAAAACTAGGTTTGATATCCCAGGTGAGGAAACACAAGACCAAGGGGGACATGACTGAGAGTAGGACTGCAGAGAGATGTGAGGACAGCAAGAGCTCCAGGCTTGGGTATTCCAATGACAGCACGATGGCACAGTTGGGTGTCTCAGCCAGTATGCTGATGGTGCCTGTGATGGAGCCAACATGGCAGTTGCGGAAGACTGGATGCAGTAGGGGGCACTTTGACTCAGAGGTTCCTGTGAGCCATTCAAGTGCAAGTGGGGGCATAACACTAAGTGCTGTGAGCTCAGAGATGTAATTGAAGCCATGGGAATGAAGCAGTCCTCAGCGGAGGATTAAACCCAGGGAGCTATTCTGGAGAGCCCTGCTGCTAGATGAGCCCTGGGGTTGATGACTTGTCACCTGCGGCTTCATTACTTCTTCGCCTGCCTATTCCCAGCTGCGTCTGCACAGTGCCTCATGCAGGAGCCACCATCTGAAGAGATTTGGTTTGACAGCCAGCTAGTTTTATTTCTTGGGTGGTCAAACAACCCTAGAGCTCTGGAAGGCAGAAGGGATTCTTCATCTTTCCAGTCCAAGAACAACCAAGATCCTTCTGCAGCCTGAAGTAGCGAACCTGTTGTTACCATCATAGAATGTTCAACCTTCTTTTGCTCCCACCCACTTGCTCTGCAGAGGTGTTCAGTAGGTTATAGTGGTCTCTGGCCTCATTAAGCATGTCCCCAGAGGGCATGCTCAGTAGTTCCGAGGTCTGGTGCCTTTTATAAACCTGTGCACCTTCCTGAATGACGTCTCTCCAGGGCTCAGTTCAGATGCTCCCGCTTTGCAACCACCATGGGGGAGTCTGCTGCTCTACTTCCCCTGCAACTTACATGTCTCTCTAGGCTGCCGTTCATCACACCCTTCTGATCTTAAGCTTCCTGCACAATCACTGTCTACTAGATCTAGCCTGTAGGTAAGGACAAACATACATAGGTGGTTTCAGTGCCAGATCAGCCTTCCCTCTGAGGTCCCTCTACCTGCTGGTTTTAACTAGTTTGGCTGCCATCAAAAATCCAATTTCCCCGATAGACATGTAGTGATGACTACTTGCTCTACCACCTTGGGAGATGGGCCAAAACATCTGTTCACTTTCAGATATTACTTGCTTTTTCTTGCCTTAGGGACTAGTCCCTGATCCTTTGAAGCTGCACCCTTTTCTGTGTCATCTGCAACCTCACAGCCATTCTTCTTTATCCACTTAATGTTGTCATCTGACCCTTTCTTTTCTTCCCAGGCCAATCTGGCACTCACTCACTTGAGCTGAGTAAGTGTTGGTAAAGAGAACGTGGTCTGACCCATCACTCCGTCACTCTCTTACCAGTTCTTGTTACGTCCTTGCCTGTTGCCCATCTGTGGCATCTGCTCAGAAAAATTACATCCCATCCTATCTATCCTCTCTCCCCTTCTACACCCAGAGGTAACATGTAACTGTGTTTATGGGACTGACACTCAGCTCTTGCACTTGTTGCTTGGCTGACCTGTAGTCCCCAGTCCTGTCCTTGTCATGCACATTCATTCACATGGCCCTTTATCAGACCTGTTTCTCCAGCCCGAGGCTCTCAACTGCCTTCCCTTGTTTTTTAGCAAGTATGTTCACTCTGTTTTCATCAAGGAAAAGACCATTGGACACACCTCCTCATCTAAAGGAAGTGTTGTCCTCCCACCCCAGCCCATATAGGTTTTTTTTTCTTCCCCACCTTAGGCTGCCTGCTCTATTTTAAAAGCTTTTGATTGGTAAACGTCTCAGGCTCCAACCCAGACTCTAGCAAAGAGATCTGCAGTCTCTCCTCTGGTCTGGCTCCCATCCCATGTCTTTGTGCCCACTGTTGAGTTTCAAAGGCAGACAGTTTCTGAAATCTGGAGCCTTTCCTGCTCTCTCCTTGTTTGCTTCCTTCATCATAGTGGTAATTTTTGAAAGCCTTACATCCATGTTCATTGTTCTCACTCCCCGCTTATCACCTAACCAAAGACTGTTTCCACACCCTTCAGTCACCACTTTATTGCCAAGTCCAAGTTATGTCTTGGTTATGTGCCTGTCATAGTTGTCCACTAAATGACCTTTACCCTTTTGTCTGTGCTTCCCTTTAAACCTTGTCTTTGACTCCTTGGCTTTCAGGCAAGCAGGGCCTAGAAAGGGGCAGTGGGGCCACCATCTTCTCCATATTTCTCACCTACCTCTCTGACCTCTTTCTCCTTTGAGTTCTTGTCCCTCACCTAGACTTTGCGGAGCACATTTCTCTAGGAAAGAGAAGCTGTCTAATTAGTATTTTTACCCTGTACTTGACATTGGCATCTCTGCTAACTAGTGGTCCTCTTTAGGGACATCCTGCAGGTACCTCAAACTCAGTATGTCACAAAAGAGGCCTGCCTTTTCTTCTTCATTATTTGTTCAGTAAAGGGGACCACTTCACCCTGTTGCCTGACCTTGAACACTGGCCACTGTCATGGGAAAGTGCATTGTGACTGAAAGCAGTGAGCCTTGGAATTGAACTTCAGTTTGAAGCTCAGCTTGATCACACTTGCTGTATGACCTTGGGCAAATCACTTAATCTCTAAGCCTCAGTTTTTCCATCTATAAAATGAGAATGACAGGAACCTAGGTCATAGATTGTTGTGAGGATGAAATGAAATGATGCACGGAAAGTTGGGCAGAAGCCTGGCACGTGGGTGCTGGGTTTATGGGGGCCTCTGTAGCAACTGTAGCAGTGGGTAATGTTTTCTGGACATGTGTCATTTTACCCTCCTGCCTAACCCCAAAAATCCTTCTCCATGATAATTGCTCACCCCCAGCTCAAACCAGTCCACTTTTCTCCACCCACAGCATCTGCTTTTTAGAGCCTTTGGTTGGTAAGCACCGACTGCCTCAGACTCAGACCCAGACTTCTGTACAACCTGCAGTGCTCCTTAGGATCCAGCCGTACTTTTTAACCTTTTAGGTGTCTTTCTCCTAGACACCACACTTCTGGTAAAAACAAAACTGTACCTCTGCATAGTTTTTGCTTCCTGTTGATGTGCTTTTCCATTTTCCCTGATTTTACTAGTTCCTTCCACCTAGAATGCATTTATCGCATTTTTTTTCAGGATAATTGCACGTACCCTTCATTAGTGCTCCAGGAACTCTCAGATGACCCGGGCTGAGTTAAAAGCACCTTGTCCTCTCTGCCCTGTAGCATCTGACGCTGTCACTCTGAATTAAGCAGTCCATTTGTGTTTCTTTTCCTTGACTGACTGAAGCTGGGAAACAGAGACCATGTATGTGTCTTGTATCCAGTTGCATCCGCAGAGCTTAGCCCACTGCCTTACAGTCAATGAGCAAATAAAACTAAAAAATCTGGAACTTCGCAATCATCCCTGTTGCCCTGTCCTGATTTTGCCACTTACTAGCCACCTAACCTTGAACCAATTTTGTATTCTTGCCCAAGTTTAAGTTCACATCTGTAAATTTGGCAATATGATGCAACAAGGGCAGCGGTGGGGGTTAAAAAATGACTTGCTGGGCTGGAGAGATGGCTCAGCGGTTAAGAGCACTAACTGCTCTTCCAGAGGTCCTGAGTTCAATTCCCAGCAACCACATGGTGGCTCACAGCCATCTGTAATGAGATCTGGTGCCCTCTTCTGGCCAGCAGACATACACACAGACAGAACACTGTATACATAATAAATAAATAAATCTTTAAAAAAAAATGACTTGCTGCACAGAGCCAGGTTTGTGCATGGAGCCACTGCATTTCTGTGCTTTCTCCTTTCGATGCCAGTGTTTGTAATGAGGAGGCGCTGTTCACGCCAGTACTTTTCAGACTTTCTGGACATAATAGCAAACATTCTGTGAGCAAGTAAAATCTTCCTTATCCATAACAACCAGAAGCCAGGCTGTGCTGACTCAGGAGACAGGGAGAGCCCATCCCTACAGTCTGCAGTACACTGCTTCGGGCCATGCTGCTCACCTGAGTAGGCAGAGTTCTGGCACATGGGAAGGAGACTTGGCACCAACCCTTATAGTCGTCCTCAGAGCAACTTTTTCTCCTAAATTACAAACTTGGAAGGTAGGGTTCAAAGAGAGGAAGTGATAGGTCCGAGGAACACTAAGGAAAGCTGAGTTTAGGTATTTAGTCAGTGTTCAGAAGAGTTGAGGATACACGCCTGCCCACTGGGCCACGGATCACAATGTTCACATTGATTCTGAGATGATGGGAACTTTTCTCTCTGGTTTATTTCCCTCTGCCTCCCCCTCAGTTTGCAAGGCAGCTGGAAATATGTGAGGTAGTGCCTTGCCATCCAACTCCTAGCTCCCTGTAGAGGCATTCTTAGCCTCTGGTTCCTTAGATTTAGGCAGGCAAATGTGGATAACTAAGCCTACAGACATGATTTCCGTTCTGATTCAAGTCTGCCAAAGATAATTTACAGGACCCAATTTCTTGGGACTGAGGCCTCCCAGTCTTCACCCAAGCTCAGGGGCTGCTTTAATCTTGTTATTAGGGTCCTGTCACTGATCATGGTATGCTATCGGATACTTTAGATGTGGACTTGGACATATGGAACTGACTGAGCAGTGAGAGACTTTTTTTTAAGACTTATTCATTTTATGGCTATAAGTGCTCTATCTGCATGTACACCTTTATGACAGAAGAGGACATCAGACCCTACTACAGATGGTTGTGAACCACCATGTGGTTGCTGGGAATTGAACTCAGGACCTCTGGAAGAATAGCCAGTGCTCTTATCCACTGAGCCATCTCTCGAGCCCAGTGAGAGAGACCTTTTTAAGAGATGTCCCTCTTCATTAATACAGCACCAGTCAGCCACTCAGAGCCTCTCAGTTCCTACATCTTATTTCCTTTAAGACTGCATAATAATAACACATTTTCCCTGATAACTACAGAATCGAAGAGACTGCCTGTCCATAGTCATGCATCCCTACTTTGTTTTTTATCCCAGACTTAGTCTCAACTTTGCAGAGGAGTCCCTTGGGGCCTAACTGGGGAGTGAGTGGATTACTCCAGCTCATGCTCACTCTTGCCTAGGAAGCAGATCCTATCCTTTTTAGGCCCAGAACTGACACAGGCTCATGATGAATAAACTCAAAACCCTATCCTCGGGACCTTATTTGTACTTCACCCCAAAACTTGATATTGTCTGGTTTCATTGCCCCTCATTCCTGCAGGGTTGGGGACCATGTGGAGATCGCAAGTCTCTGCCTTCAGCAAGTGATTGGCAAAGCTAGGTCCCAGGCTGATGTGTCAGGTGTCACATTGTACCTGATCACTGGCAGACCTCTGTTGAAACTGCCTCTTCTATTGGCAGGAAAAAGAGAAGGCCCGGTTGGCAACAGGCACTCTGAAGCAGGTGAATCGTGTTTCTGGAAGCCAGGAGCTAAGGCCTGCCCAGGAGAGGCTCCTAGAGTGGCCTGACCAGGAACTGGACCGGGTCAATAACTTCTTGAGCAGCCGCTTGCAGGAGATCAAGAGCACCGTCAAAGACTCCCTCTGTGCCAGCTTCAGCATGTGTGAGCTCAACCTGGATAGCAGTGGCTTTAAGGAGGAGGGGACTGTGGAACCTCAGTCCCAGACTCTAACCCCTTCAGACCTCAATGGCTCTTCTGAGCAACAGCCTGATATCAACCTTGACCTGTCCCCTTTGACTTTAGGCTCCCTTCAGAGCCACACATTACAAGCTCCAAGTGAGCCAGTTATACCATGGGCAGAAAGAAAAGCCCCTCACCCAGCATGGACAGAGGTACGGGGTCCCCCTCCTGGTACCCCTGAGAATGGGCTCGTGAGACGACTCAACACTGTGCCCAACTTGTCCCGGGTGATCTGGGTCAAGACACCAAAGGCAGGCAACCTAAGCTCTGAGGAAAGTTCGAAGGAAGTTCCCAGTTGCAAGCAGGAGCCAGTTGAGCCTGTGGCCACAAGTGGGAAGCAAAGAAAGAGCAAGAGACAGGGAAGTCAAGCAAAGAAGAGTGAGGCTGGTCCGGCCTCCTGGCCTCCAGGCAACCTAGAGGCGCCCAGTGCCAAGAGCCAGACATCTAGCTCCAAGCAGCCAGGCAAGGCCCCAGAGCCTGCCAAAGTGGGTAATTGTGCAGAACCTGGAGAGGGCAGCCGGGGGAGCCGACCAGGACCAAGTTGGACTGACAACCCCAAAACTGAGAAGAAGGGTAGTTCCTGGCAGAACTGGCCAGGTGAGGCCAAGGCACGGACTCTGGAGCAGGAATCTGTGCAGACCCCAGGCCCAGCAAGGCCACAGAGCTTGTCCCAGGGCAAAGGCCGCAGCCGCCGGAGCCGCAAGCAGGAGAAGTCAGCCTCCTCCTTGGGTGAGTGCACCAGGAACCAAGTGGCTGAACCCCCACCCCAACCAAGCCACGGGGTGGAGGGCAGTCCCCGTGTATGGGCAGCACTGCCCCCAGCATGACCCCAGAGGCCTGGCCATGGGCACTGAGCCCTCCTGGCTGTGTCTTCCTAGACGATGTGTTCCTGCCCAAGGACATGGATGGGGTGGAGATGGATGAGACAGACCGCGAGGTGGAGTATTTCAAGAGGTAGGTGTATGCTTCCTGCTTCTCCCCAGTGTCCATGTCCGAGCCCCATGTTGTATCTCAGGCCTACGAAAGTCCATGGGGGTCCTCACCACCCTTCCAGGCCCTCCATGTAGCCTGAACTCAGGTAGCCACTTGGCAAGACCTAGCATCTGAGAAGGTGCAAGGCATAAGGAGAAGGAGCCATGTTGGGATGAAAAACTAGAACTTTTTCCAGCTTTACATATTTTTATTTCTTGCTCATTTCAGACAGGGTTTTAGTGTAGCCCTAGCTGCCCTAGAACTCATTATGTAAACTAGGCAAGCCTCAAACTCCCAGAGATCACCTTCTCTGATTCCCAAGTGCTGGGGTTTTATTTGTACTTCTAGTGGGTCAGGATCTAGGAACAGTCTAGACAAGCAGAGATTCAGAAATACACAGCCCACTGATTGGTGCTGGTGGAGGCATAAAGGCATGACGGGGACACTGTTGGGGAGTGGGGGGTGTGTGTGCCTTCACACCAACCTGGAAGTTGAGGAGGCCTTTCTGGGAAAGGTGAATAAGATTGAGCTGAGCTCACCAGGTAAAATGACAGCCATAGGGCAATGTGTACAAAAGTCTGAGGGTAAAAACCATCTCAGTCCTGTGAGGGTAGGGTAGAGATGATGGACAGTTTGTGTCTCACAGCTCAGTCCAGCGAGGGTAAGGTAGAGATGATGGACAGTTTGTGTCTCACAGCAGTTGTCTTCATGCATTGTCCCCTGGCCTTGTGCTCAGTTTTCAAGCCAATGAGGTTCTCATGCCTGTCAAACCCAAACACCTGGAAGTTGCTGTGCCTGTTTAGAGCCAGGCCTCAAATTCATGGCAGTCCCGAGGTGCTGGGATTATAGTATACATTAGCATTCTGGACTTGCAGCTGGTTTCTTAGTGAATGGGACATATTTTGTGTAGTGGTGGGGTCCAGTGAGAACAGGAGAGAACTTCTTACTGTGTTTTATCCATATTTCCTAAACCCAATAGGTTCTGTTTGGATTCTGCAAAGCAAACTCGTCAGAAAGTTGCTGTGAACTGGACCAACTTCAGCCTCAAGAAAACCACTCCTAGCACAGCTCAGTGAGGCAGAGACCTCAGCTGGTACTTGGCACCCTGTTCTTCCCATGACACGCCACTTTCTGTGCCCCTCTAAGCCATTCTGATTTCTGTGTCTGGGGAGGAGGACTTAAGGCTTGCTGTCCCTCACTCTTCACCCCTATAGCAACCATATATCCAGGCTCAGTGACTGATGATCTGCACCCTGTCTTTTTCTGTGTGTCTGCTCACCCAAGGCCTCTGTTCTCCATCACACCTCCCTGGTCGGGCCCTCCCTGAATCTTGCTGCTGCTTCTCCTGAAGGTCTGCTTCTTAGGATGGCATCACTGGGGCTCAGCCTCCCTCCCACAGCCTCCAGGCAGCAGTAGACTTAACAGAGTTGCACTATGCGTGGGCATTGGGCTTTAGTCCCATTTGCTTCCTCAGTGCAGACTGAATGTCAGCCACTTTAAGCATTAGAAGAGACCATCCCCAAGGGAACAGTGAGGGCAGGTGAGCTGAGCAAGACCTTCTAGGTCATTGCTAATATTGGAGGTGTTAGGGAGGGTTCTTCCCCAGTAGGGCATGTTCCCTGAGGAACTAGTAGCTAAGCTGTTTTTGGGAAGAAACTGACTTTCCCTCCAGACACCTGCACAAATCCATTTATCTGAACTGTTTATATATTGGATAATGTTTTCGGGCTATGTGCCCAAAACTGGAACTTTACTGCAGAAGATCTAGGCAGTTTGTACACTGTATTAAGGCCCAAGGCTATTCAGGTTCGTGTCTTTTTTTTTCCTTAAAGATTTGTTTATTTATTATGTGTAGTGTTCTGCTGCATGTATGACTGCATGACAGAAGAGGGTACCAGATCTCATTACAGATGGTTGTGATCTACCATGTGGTTGCTTGGAATCAAATTCAGGACCTCTGGAAGAGCAACTAGTGCTCTTAATCTCTAAGCCATTTTTCCAGCCTGCCTTTTTTTTTAGTAATTTATTTTTATGTGCATTGGTGTTTTGCCTTTATGTATGCCTATGAGAAGGTGTCAGATACAATTGTTACAAGCTACCATGTGGATATTAGGAAGTGAACACGGTTCCTTTGGGAGAGCAGCCTGCTCTTTATATCTGAGCCATCTTTCCAGCCCCACAGTTCCATGTATTAATCTTGTGCTGTGTAATTGTATCAGGTCTTTTTGTCTGACCACTACATAGCTGCCCTGGCTACAGTGGGAGGCTTGGACAGGTGGCCTGATCCCTATATGGGGACTCTTGAGGTCCCCATCTGTCTCTATGTTCCTTTGCGCTTTAAAAACTTCTTCTTGGGGGTGAAGTGGTGAGCTTCCTGAACCCTGAACAACTCCTCAGGGCAGTACAGGGGCCTGAAGTCTACAGAGTTGAGGCCCCTGTGTCATGCACAGGCTGCCTCCCAAGTTACATTGTTCTCTTCAGAATCGCCTCAGGCTCCCTGTGCCACACCAGGATAACCACACCCCAAGGGCATCCTCTAAGGCTAAAGCACCCTCTTACCTTTCTTCCCCACCACCACAAGAACACAGAATAGCAAAGACCCCAGGCATTTATCTGTTGCCCCTATGGAAAGCAAAAGGTCACACCTTCTCACTAAACCCACATTTCACTGGTTTTCTAGGAAACCTAATCCAGCCATCTTCTGCTTTGGCTAATCTCTTCCAAGATCCCACCCTCATAGTGCACTTCCTTGAGTCTCCCCATCATCTTCAGGCAGTATAGGAGCCTGCAGTGCTGGCAGGCTCAGGACCCAGCCCAGGCTGTCTCCTTGGAACCTGAGGAGTCTGAACTCGCCTCCACCAGTATATGAGTGAGAAAACCAGCAACCAAGCTCTCACTCAGCCCTGACCTTGACAGATGTGCTGTAGGTTTGGTTTCTCAAAGATTGTCCCATATGTTGACAGAACCTCAGGATAGTTTTAAATTTCATTTTCCACTGGAAATTTTCAAATCTCCATTCGGGAAGTCTACTGTTTGTTTTCAGTCCAAGAAACAAAAGTAAAACTTATTACCACCTCAGAGCCAGAGAGCCAGCAGGGGTCTGGGCCTAGGCTGGTGCTGTGATCCACTCCCAACCCAGAGCCAGCAGGGCAGGCTGGGGCGAGGATGGGGAGAGGTGGGGTTGGAGCTGGTTCTCACTGTGATTCTGCCATTTTTTCTCCCTCAGCCCTGCCAGGTCGACTTCAGGTCATCTCAAGGCCCCACTCAAGCTGCAGATGTAGTTTCTCCTCCTCCTTCCACCTGACTTGACCCTCCCTGCTCCCACCACCTTGACCAACCAAAAGCGGAACGGATGCCATGCTGTGCGGGGCCTTTCAGGACCTCAGCAGAGCTGCTTCCTGGTGCTATGCAGCCTTGACACTCAGAGCCCAGGGATGGGCTGGCCTGTGAGCCAAGGGCTGATGGGACTGCTGGCCCAACACTGCTCTCTTTGTGTTTGATTTTGTTTGTTTTGTTTTTTTTAATTCTTTACTTTTGATACTGTGAATATCTTTCATGTGGAAAGATAAAGCAACATTTGAACACAGAATTTAGTGTGATGGTGATTTGCTGGTCTGAATGGGGAGTGGTGGGATGTGTGTACTCAGACACAGAGGCCTGAGTCTGTCTTGGCCACCATTATGGAGCTGTCCTCTGTATAAACAGTCATATTTTCACTTAACCCTTAAGAGTCCTCCAAACATCCTCAATGGGACTGATAGTCCAATTTAAAGACGAGGAAACCAAGACAGTAAAGTAACTACTGAAGAGTCTAGTTAAGTGTGCTAAGTACAAGTCTGTGGCTCCCCTGTCCCAGCCCTTCCTTCTATTGGGAGGACCCAGGTACATGAGCCTGGAGCACTATATGGGCTGAATAGTTCAACAATGACTGCCTCTCTAGACATTGGAGAGGCTGAGAACCCAGTAACTGTTCAGTCCATGAAGCCATTCCAGTCTAGTGCTGAAGACCTGGAGGATTCCTGGAGAGCCAATTGATCTTTAATTCTTTTTACTAATTTTTATTTATGTGTATGGGTGTTTTGTCCACGTGTACGTTTGTGTGCCACATGAATACAGTGCCTGTGGAGGCCAGAGGAAGGCATTGAATTCCCTGGGACTGAAGTTACAGTTGGTTGTAAGCTGCCATGTGGACACTGGGAATTGAACCTGGGTCCTCTGAAGCATAGACAGTGCTTTTAACTGATGAGTCATCTCTGCAGCCCCCAGGAGAGACCTGATTTTTAGTCCACGTCGGAAGGCAGAAGCTAGGCTTTGACTAGCCTATGAGGGGAAAACCAACAGGTAGAAAGCTTTTCCCTTGGATCTCCTTATGTCCAGACTCTCACCTAGGAAATGGAGGAGGATCTTCACTCCTCAGTAAATTCTTCCTGGAAATGCCCTTACAGACCCACCCAGAGGTATGTCTGTTAGTTAATTCCAATATTAAGCCTTGCACTTAGTTTTCCCCTTTCAAGATGGTCATGTGGATGCAGGTTGGATATGGTCTTCCTACTTTAACAGATAATGAACATCTATGAAGTCAAGGAATCCACTTCTATCTTCCCAATTCATATTTAAACATAATAGGTTTGCTTAAAAAACTAACTCACATATGTTATGTCCAAACTGCCCTAGAGTAGTTATTTTCTATTAAATGCAATTCTTTTTTGGTTTTGTAGCCCCAGCTGTCCTGGAACTTGCTATATAGACAGAGAGTTGGCTTCAAACTTGGAGAGATCCTCCTGCCTCTGCCTCTGGAGAGCTGTAATTAAGGTGTGTTCCACCATGGCAGGCCTAAATGTCTTTTTTTTTCTCCTTTAAGATTTATGTGTAATCGCGAGTGTTTTTCTTACACCATGAGCCTAGTGTCCAAGGTCAGTAGAGGACATTTTTATTCCTTGGAACTGGAGGTATAAATGTGTGAGATGCTATGTGGGTGCTGAGAATCAAACCTGTGCTCTCTGCAAGAACAAATGCTCTTAACCCCTGAGCCATCCCTCCCTAAATGCCATTCTTAACTGAGCTTCTTTGGGTAGCACAGTGTCTTGAGGTGTACTCTGCAGGCAAAGAGCCCTTCATAGATGGGCCCTTCCTCTTGTTCACCAGGCCCCATCATGGGACTGGGTGTCAGTTTCCTTCAAAAGAAAGAGAACAGGATACAGACCACAGGCTCACAAATCCTGCCTCTTGGCCAGTACAATCCCAAGGAAGGGAAATCAGGTGAAACCTTTCTCTGTATTTGTTAGCTGTGTTTCTCACAGTTCCAATGGCAACACACCTTTAGTCCCAGAGGCAGGTGGAGCTCAGTAAATTCAAGGCCATCCTAGTCTACAAAGCAAGTTCCAGGACAGTCAGAACTGCTACACAGAGAAATCCTGTCTTGAAAAGAAAAGGAAAAAAAACTTTTTTTCACTGTGTAGTCCCAGCTGGCCTCAAATTTAGAAATCTGCCTTGCCAAGAGTGTTGGAATTAAAGGCGTGCCCCACCACATCTGGCTTTTTTTTCTTTTAATCCCTGCTCATCCTTTACCTCCTACAAGAGAAGCCTTTTGCCTTGAATATCTTGAAAATCTATTTGCATTGTCTTTGTGGGATTCCATGCTAGGTATTGTGGCACACACAACCCAGCACTCCTGAGGGCAGCTTTCGCTAGAAAAACAAATCCTTATAGTCTTCACACCGCGTCCTGTCCCTCTGCTCCCTCTCTGGCACTACTATACGGAGATCAGTGCCCCCATGGCAGATCCAGGGCTTAGGAAGGGGCAGCCAGCTCCAACTCTATCATTCCTCCTTCGAGTGAAGTAGGACTCATGACATCCTGAGCCCAGTCTCCTTTCCCCTACCTCACTCCAGCCTTAGAGATCTCTGTACCCTGAGGAATTTGTGTACTTCCTCTACATACTCAGCCCCCTTCCTGCTCTCCTGGTGGTGATTCCTTCACTTCCGGGGAAGCCCTGAGCCAGTCACTCTGAGATTTATGTCATTGACATTAGGGCTTCGGTAACACTGACTGCCAGGTCTTTAACCCCTGCACTCAGGAGGCAGAGGCAGATGGATCTGTGAGTTCCAGGACAGTCAGGGCTTCACAGAGAAGCCCTATCTCAAAAACAAACAAACTCACCGTGACCATTATTTTATTTCCGACCCCTAGGATGAGGAGTTTCGTCTACTCTGGCGACTCTGGCATCCCCGGGAACCGCTCTTGCAGGGCGGGAACTCATGGCCACCAGAGGGAGCAGCATTCTCCCCGGGCGCATGCGGGGAAGAACGCCTTGATCTGCTGTAGCGGGTTATTTCATGAAACAACTTGAGTCTTCTGCGCATGCCTCAAATCCGTTACCCACAAAGCTTTGCCAGACACATTCAATAGGCTCTTGCGCCCGCCCACAAAAGCGCAGGAGGAAGTTTGTCCCTGAACGCGATCCGGTGCTCATGGTGTTGCTGGGCGACAGCTACAGTTTTTTCCCCGTCTGATTGGAGCTCACAGGAGGTGTTCCACCCCCCCTCCCCCGGCATTGCGCATGTGTGCGACCAACGATGGAGGAGTCGGAACCCGAGCGGAAGGTGGGGATGAGGCTGGGTTCACGCGAGGGGGATCGGGCAGGGGGAGGGGCCGCGGGCTGACTCGGGTCTCTGCAGCGGGCTCGCGCGGATGAGGCGGCCGCGGGAGGGAGCCGCTCCGAAGATGAGGATGAAGACGACGAGGACTACGTACCCTACGTGCCGTTGCGGCAGCGCCGGCAGCTACTGGTAAGGGGCCGCTTTCCAGGGGCAACGGGGGGCGTGTCAGCGGGAGGGGGAAACTTTGGGACGCGGTTCTGAGACAGACGAGGGACTGGGGAACCTGTCTGAGTTCCGGACAGACGTGCGCTTCCGTGCACACAATCCCCTTCCCGGAAAGAGCCAGGGACCTGGCGCCCACCCTCCCGGTGCTATGTCCCCCACCTACCGAGTCTTGGGCTTGACTCTGAGGAACACTGGTGGGACTTCAGCTCCAGAAGCTGCTGCAGCGAAGACGCAAGGGAGCTGCGGAGGAAGAGCAGCAGGACAGTGGCAGTGAGCCCCGAGGAGATGAGGACGACATCCCGTTGGGTCCTCAGTCCAACGTCAGCCTCCTGGATCAGCACCAGCACCTCAAAGAGAAGGCTGAAGGTGGGTTGAGCAGGAAGGAAAGGAACTGAGCCTGAGGCGCAGTTCTTCTGACTCTCTGACATCTTTGCCTTCTTTTGTCAGCGCGCAAGGAGTCGGCAAAGGAAAAGCAACTAAAGGAAGAAGAAAAGATTCTGGAGAGTGTGGCTGAAGGCCGAGGTAAGATTATAGCTGGTGCAAAGAAGACTGAGCCACCTCCTCCCAACTTCAAGGAATCTGGCCTTTGGGAAGCAGTCACCCATTGAGCTTTGTTTGTCTCCCCAGCTTTGATGTCAGTGAAGGAAATGGCCAAAGGCATCACATACGATGATCCAATCAAAACCAGGTATGTCTTTGTGGCTGAAGACTGGCAGCGATACCCTGAGGCCCAGCTATACCAACAGCCCGTGCTGACCTCTCTTGTGCGCTGCCTACCTATAGTTGGACACCCCCACGTTATGTCCTGAGCATGTCCGAAGAGCGGCATGAGCGTGTTCGGAAGAAGTACCACATCCTGGTAGAGGGAGATGGTATCCCACCACCCATCAAGAGTTTTAAGGAGATGAAGTTTCCTGCCGGTATGTGTGGAGAGGGAGTTGCCATGCTTTTTCAGTAATGCCCCTGAGATTGTGTCCCAGCCCCAGCTGAGCTCAGCAGTGGGCATGGAGATTTCCCTTGGTGGTTGTTGGTGGTGGTCCGTTTCAGGGGAGAAGTCCTTCTGTGACAGAATCTCACTCTGCAGCCCATTCCGACCTCAGATTCAAAGCCGTCCTCCTACTTCACCCCTACCGAATGCTGGTGTTCACATGGTAGACATGACCTGTCACACCCTGTGTGGAGGTGACGAGGTGAAGCCAGGTGTCATCATGGAGTCCTAGTTGTCTCAGAACTTAGTCCAAGTAGGCTCTCTTGAGATCTTGAGAGATCCACTTGCTGTGCCTCCTGCCTTCAGGCTTACAGGTGTGGACACCGCTCCTGGCTAGAGAAAGGGTTTCTTTAGGCTTGTGTGCAGAGGCCTCAGCTGTATATGTTCACTGTATTCTGCTTAGACAGAGCCCTAGTGAGAATGCTGTTAAGCTCAGGTAGATGTGGCTCCAGGAAGCCAGTGGGCATTGCACCTGCTGTTTCATGATCTTAAGCCTCTGTTTCATGACTTGCAACTTAGAGGGAAGAGCTAATTTTACACGAGTCAGGACTTTAGTAAAACATGCATCATTTTTTACAGCCATCCTTCGAGGCCTGAAAAAAAAAGGCATCCTCCACCCAACACCAATTCAGATCCAGGGCATCCCTACCATGTGAGTATGGGGTGTGGACGTGGGGTTCTTGAGGCCTACAGCAGAGAAGCAGTGCCCCTTTGTCTTCACTGGGCCCAATCCTGAAGCTGTCCTCTCCCAACAGTCTGTCTGGCCGGGACATGATTGGCATTGCCTTTACGGGGTCAGGCAAGACACTAGTGTTCACACTGCCCGTCATCATGTTCTGTCTGGAACAAGAGAAGCGATTGCCTTTCTCCAAGCGTGAAGGGCCTTACGGACTCATTATCTGCCCCTCGGTAAGCTAGGCTAGCCTGGGGGCCAGAAGAAGGACTGGGGCTGACTTCTGGTACCAGCCTTGTCCCTGTGTCTTTAGCGAGAGCTGGCCCGACAGACCCATGGCATCCTGGAGTATTATTGCCGTCTGCTGCAGGAGGACAGCTCACCCCTACTGCGCTGTGCTCTCTGCATTGGGGGAATGTCGGTGAAAGAGCAGATGGAGACCATCCGACAGTATGTACAGACACCCTGTCCCACAGGCATTCCCAAAGTGCCCAGAGATGCAAAAGAACCCTTTAGTTTAGCTACCGTATGATCCTCACAGAGTCCCGTGAGTCCAGCCCTTGAGGGAAAACGGGTTGGGGTGGAATGGAAGGATGTGGCTGGGTGTTGTGGGAATGTGGTAGATGGGATGTACCATTCTCTGGGATATAAGAAGTCGAAGACAACTTTATAGGGAAGGTGCTATTTGAATTTCTCAGAGGGGAGTTCATGTAGAAGCTCAGATATTGAAATGTAGGGAATCCAGAAAAATCAGAGCTATTATTCATTGTGATTAACCAAGGAGATTAAGGTACTAATAGGGACCAGACCCCAGCAGTACCTCTATTCCGTTCAGGTAGTGCAATCCCCAACAGATATTTTGTCTGAGGTATCCACAGGCTCAGTGAAGATGTAGGCACAGAAAAGATAACGTCAGCTTACCAGGAAAGTGAACCCAGCGAGGCCAACAAAGGGATGCAGGAATCAGGGGTCTTGGACGCTCAGAACAGCCCTCTTGGGGAAGGTGTTTCAGGATAGGTGCAGGCCAGAAAGGTGCAGCCCCTACCAAATCAGCAGCACATGCTGTCAGTAGGCTAGTACAGGGGACGAGCTGAGAATCAGGGAAGGAAACAGTGCTGTCTGTAGGCTAGCACAGGGGACGAGCTGAGAGCCAGGGAAGGAAACAGCGCTGTCTGTAGGCTAGCACAGGGGACGAGCTGAGAGCCAGGGAAGGAAACAGTGCTGTCTGTAGGCTAGCACGGGGGACGAGCTGAGAGGCAGGGAAGGAAACAGCACTGTCTGTAGGCTAGCACGGGGGACGAATTGAGAGCCAGGGAAGGGAACAGTGACAGCAGAAGGCAAGGTAAGCCTCTTAGCAGGTGATGTGGGGAACCAGGCAGCCCGAACTGCAGGGTTTCTCCCTTCTCAGTGGTGTCCACATGATGGTAGCCACGCCTGGACGCCTCATGGATTTGCTCCAGAAGAAAATGGTCAGCCTGGACATCTGTCGCTACCTGGCCCTGGATGAGGCTGACCGCATGATCGACATGGGCTTTGAGGGTGACATCCGTACCATCTTCTCTTACTTCAAGGTGCCTGACCCCTGCCTCACCCAGGCAGTCCTGCACAGACATGTGCACACTTGACCTGCAGAGGGTCTCTGCTTTTCAGGATCTGTGTCTCAACTGTTCAGCATCCTCAGACCCCATCCCCTGTGTGCCTTCCATCTATCCCTGCATGCCCTTAGCTCAGTGGTTTTCAACCTTCCTAACGCTGCAGCCCGTTAATGCAGTTCCTCATGTCACAGTGACCCCCCAACCATTAAATTATTTTTTTAAAGATTTTATTTAATTTTATTTTATGTGCATTGGTGTTTTGTCTGCGTTCATATCTGTGTGAGGGTGTTGGATCCCCTGGAACTGTAGTTATAAATGGTTGTGAGCTGCCATGTGGGTGTTGGGAATTGAATCCCAGCCCCCGATAAAATTATTTTTGTTGTTACTTCAAAATTGTAATTTTGCTACTGTAATGAATTGTAATATAAATATCTGATATGTAGGTCGTCTGATACATGACCCCCAAAAGGGTCATGTCCCACAGGTTGAGAACCACTGCCTTAGTCCCTGTCCCCACACTTTCTCAGGGCCAGCGGCAGACCCTGCTCTTTAGTGCTACCATGCCAAAGAAGATTCAGAACTTTGCCAAGAGTGCCCTGGTAAAGCCTGTCACCATCAATGTGGGACGTGCTGGAGCCGCCAGCCTGGATGTCATCCAGGTAAACAGGCACTCCCGAGGAGCAGTCTTACCAGTACAGACTGAAGCTAGCCACACTCCCCTGATGTTAACTGAAGAGTCCACCTTCTGACCTTTAGCCAAGGCCATTCTTAGGCTGCCCAGCCCCTCAATGGCAAGAGGTTTCTGGTCACCTAGCCTACACTGGGGACCCAGCTGCAGTGTCAGGGCCATGACTGGTGAGCCTAACCTTGGGATCACCTGACCTGGCCCCTTTGGTGACAGGAGGTAGAATACGTGAAGGAGGAAGCCAAGATGGTATACCTGCTTGAGTGTTTGCAGAAGACACCCCCACCTGTGAGTACAACTGGACTAGGCTGATCCCAGAGTTCCCAGGATGAGAGACAATGGTAGGGATCTATGCTGGGGGACTCAGGGTGATACCCTCTGACTATTTTTGGGGGGGGGCGACAGGTGCTCATCTTTGCAGAGAAGAAAGCAGATGTGGATGCCATTCACGAATACCTCCTGCTCAAAGGAGTTGAGGCGGTGGCCATTCATGGGGGCAAAGGTCAGGATGGTTACTTCACTAGCATAGACCTGCTGCCAGGACTCTGTGCCTTCCCATTCCCTGCCCCTGCCCGGCCAGCCTTTGCTACCCCCAACATTCCTACTATAGTTCTGACATACAGCTTACCCACCCTAGACCAGGAAGAGCGGACCAAGGCCATTGAGGCATTCCGGGAAGGCAAGAAGGATGTCTTAGTGGCCACAGATGTGGCCTCCAAAGGCCTGGACTTTCCTGCCATCCAGCATGTCATCAATTATGACATGCCTGAAGAAATCGAGAACTATGGTAGGGAAGCTGGGATATTAATGGGCTGGGCAGGATGAGGCCAGGCGTCCAGGCAGTGGGCTCGAGGCTGTTCCTTTCCTTGCAGTGCACCGGATTGGCCGCACCGGGCGTTCAGGAAACACGGGCATTGCTACCACCTTCATCAACAAGGCCTGTGGTGAGTCAGCATAGCTACCATGGTTCTCCCTTGGGTCCTCCATATGTAGCTATCTGGGTTCTAACTCCAGTTTGGAGTCTGATGGAGCCTGTTACCCTTCTTAGATGAGTCAGTGCTCATGGACCTCAAAGCCTTGTTGCTGGAGGCCAAGCAGAAGGTACCGCCTGTTTTACAAGTGCTGCACTGTGGGGACGAGTCCATGTTGGACATTGGAGGTAAGTGTAGAGCAGGAGCCCCGTCTCCAATGTGAGGCTGGGTAGCTTGGGGCTGGGAAGGCAAGCAGACTGAAGTACCAGGAAACCAGTCCAGGCTGGTAGGGTCAGTCTGGGGTCAAGATCAAGGGCCTGAAACTTGATCCTGTGACCTTGCTAACCCTTCTCTCCACTCCCAGGAGAACGGGGCTGTGCCTTCTGTGGAGGACTTGGCCATCGCATCACTGACTGCCCCAAGCTTGAAGCTATGCAAACCAAGCAGGTCAGCAATATTGGCCGCAAGGACTACCTGGCCCACAGTTCTATGGACTTCTGAGCTGTCTCTTCCCTCCTCTCCCCAAGAGGCATCAGTCACAGGACTCCAGCCAGGCATACACCAGCCCTCAAGACAAGAAGCCAGCTCCCTTGGCCCAGCTGGCCTGGGCAACCCCAGTGTCCCCCAGAATTACTATTTTTGTTCTCTTTTCTCGACTGCCATTAAAGCACAATCCCTTCTATCTCAGATCAGCGCTTCCTCTTTCTCATCCATTTGCCCCCTGGTTCCTGGACAAGCCTCACCCTCTCTCTGCTCCAGTACCATCCTGAGGCAAGACATCAACATTTTCTAGAGTTGCCAGACTTTTATAGAAGGGACTGACTGGCTGCTGTCCCCGTCTGGGGGCTCAGGATACCTGGTCAGGAGTGCCCAAAAACTCAGAGGAGCCACAGTTGGGGGTCATGGGGAAATGATGGTGTCCTTGGTCTCTCTGCCATCTGACACTGCTACTAGTGTCTCCTGTGATCGCTCCAGGGCCTCTGAAGCCTCTGGCTACTCCTCCCAGCCGGGAAGGCTCCCAGCTAGAAATCCTCTGCTCCATCTGCAGAGGAAGTGGTAGATGCCACAGAACTGCCGTTCTGGCCACAGACACCCCCTGCCTCTGTTCTGCCCCACTCTCTACTGGGCTATAAGGACAGAAATGAACCAGGCAGGTGCTGCCGTAACTGGGGAGCCTCCGGTAAGGCTCAGACGTGCAGATATGCCTGTTGGCAAGACTAGCCCACCAACCCCGACTTCAGACTTGTGGCAAGAGGGGGCAAAGAAATGGCACAGCAGTAGCCAGGTACCTCAGTTCTTCTGTGCCAGAAACATTGTATAGACGGCATATGCCGATTCAGCAAAGGCGGCAGTTGCTCAACCCATGTTTGTCACTTAGTGTGTGGCCGCTGGCAAGTTACTTAACCTATCTGAGCCTTAATTTCCTCATTGTTGAAATGTCGATGAGAATGCAAAGGCTAAGACCAGGCCGTGTGAGCTCAGCCACCCGGACCATTGTGGGCCAGGAGCCAAAGGCTCCTTGAATGTATTTCCATGTCTACTGTGTGATCCCTAAAGAGCATTCCTCAGTTTGGTTACAGCGTCCTTTCCCAAGGTGACATTGCATGAGTGACAAGACACTTCCATAATTCATATTCATGCACAGCTCCAATAGAGGGCTCCAGCAAGGCAAGTGGGGCAGTGTGGGGGAAAGACACTGGGCAGGAAGCAAAGCTAGTCTAAGGAGCATGTGACCTCCCTGGGGAGCACACTGGGGGCCTGCCACCCACAGTCAACGTGACAAACAGTGACCCTGGATGTCGAGCCCTTGTAGACCTGCTGCTTGATGGTGCGCTGTGAGGTGCTTCGCTCTCCAACCTTGGTAAGTGGTCAGGGAAGGCCTTTGGGAAGAAGCAGCCACCTCTGGCAGAAAGGGGCGCCCAGAAGGGACTGGTGTGAAAAATTACAACTCAGAAAGTAAAGGCAAGAACACACAGGATGGAGTGGTCCAGACTAGGCTGAAAGGGAATAAGAGGGTTGGTGAACGCAGCCAAGCTGGGCCCAGGTCTGGTGAGGATGGAGAGGAGAAACTGGACTTCAGAAATCTTTTTTATGGGGCTGGGAGTGTAACTCGGTGGTAGAGCAATGGTCTTAGTATACCCAAGGCCCTGGATCACACCAATGCTGCTAGAGAAGCATGTAAACCTCAGGATGGCAGACAGGAGTTCAGCAATCTGGAGAGAGGAGGGTCCAAGGATGGGCCAGGGCTGTGTAGTTCCCATCCTCGGGGTGCACAGCTTCCTGGGGATGGGGGAGGGCTCAGAACTTGTGACTCAGGGCATCCATCCTGTGGTCAGACACTCACGGCCAGCTGATGCAGGTGCATGCGCAAGAGGCAGTGGCCCCCAGTGGCTTCATGCTCCCAGTAGGCAGGTGTGGTTTCGGAACACGAGAACCCCAAGGGAGAGATTGGTTCTGACGGCTAGCCCTTCAGTGAAGACCAGGCTCCCCTCCCCCTGTCCCTGCAGCTGTCACTGGACAGAGGGAGGGGGAAGTGGCCAGAAGGGGAAGTAAGAGGGTTCCCGTCCAGCCAGTCACCAATCTCCTTGGGTCTTCAGAGCAGCTGTGGCCATGGAGTCCGTGGAGACCCCTGTCAAGGACGGCATCCTTTACCAGCAGCACATGAAGTTTGGCAAGGTGGGAACCCCAGGCTGCCTACCTAGACAGCCTGTTTAGACGTACGAGAACTGGGAAGGGAGTCTGGGTGGGCTGAAACCTGGGAATTTGGGAGTGGAGGTTCTTGGCCTGAGATTAGGGCTGAGGCGTCCTTTCTAAGATGATCTCAGAGTGGTAGAGATGCCAAGACCATGGTCTTAAGAACCAAAACCTTTGTGTATGCTGGCTCCAGAGCTCCTGAAGAAGGTCAAGGCCTGAGTGGCAGGAGTCTTCTAAGGATGGAGCAGCACCCTGCAGACCAAGGCTGGGTCTCCAGATACTGGGGAGGAGAAGGGTTGGGGATTCATGGTGCTCCTTGAGCATCAGACTCGACACCCACAGTCCAGCTGCAACTGCTCCCTGGGTGGAAACACTGTTTCCTTTGCTAGGTGACATTTGCATGTTTCCTTCCTTAGCAGCACGAAGCTGAGGCCTCCTTCCCACCACACCCAGCCATGGCCTAAGTGCCCTTTTCGGTTGGGGCTGGCAATAGATAGCTTAACAGCGGTGTCAGCTGACCTGCCCCAACCGCTAGATACTTTACAGACAATCCAGTAGAAGTCCAGGCTTATGTTCTCATGACCTTTAGAGGCAAGTTATGAAGGTCATTCAGAAAAGGGCAGGGAGGATGGGATTTGAACTCGGACCTGACCAACCCTAAATACAGACTTCCTGCTTACCTTTGCCCTAGCAAGGCCTCCTCCTTCCTTTGTACCCTAAAGCCTTAGGGAGGCAGAAGCCAGGCGGTCAGTGGCTCAGCAGCTTGTACACAACCAAGTGGCAGGGAAACCTTCTTCCCAAGGGCCTCTCTCTTTACAGAAATACTGGCGGAAAGTGTGGGCTCTGCTGTATGCTGGAGGCCCATCAGGTGTGGCTCGGCTGGAAAGCTGGGATGTTCGTGATGGTGGCCTGGGGCCAGCAGGTGACAGATCTGTAGGGCCCGGCCGTCGAGGCGAGCGTCGGGTCATACGTTTGGCTGACTGTGTGTCTGTTCTGCCGGCCGACGGTGAGAACTGTCCCAGGGACACCGGGGCCTTCCTGATTACTACCACTGAACGAAGCCACCTGCTGGCTGCACAGCACCGCCAGTTGTGGATGGGCCCCATTTGCCAGCTGGCTTTCCCGGTGAGTGTAAAGTGAACTGGCCTGCGGGGACTACCTCACCCCTCCTACTTATTCATGTCCTTGCTTAGCCAGATTCGGCCGCTTGGTAAGCGGTGCCAAAGTCTGGCAAATCTGGGCAGAATTTTTGCCACATTCAGAAACCCACAGAATGATCTCAGATCCCCATGTATGCTATAGAGAAAAATCAAACATTAGGTCAGGAGACCTCTCTAAGGAGGAGACAGTGGGCTGAGCCCTGCATGACAGGTGAGAACTCACCAGGCAGAGGCTTGAGAAAGGTGTCTAAGACACTGACAATTATTGTAATGCTGGTGTCATGGCCAAAGGCCCTGGGGCAGGGAAACATGGTATGTTTGAGGAGCAGAACGTAGGCTAGCCAGTAGCTGAGGCACACAAGAGTTAGTACATTTGGGAAGTTCAGTGAGCGCCTGTTGAAACCACCTTGGGCCAAGTGTGGGTTGGAGGTTTTATACTGAATCAGAAGAATGGCTTTGGAGTATTAAAACCAGAGGCTAGGGCTGGTGAGATGGCTCAGAGGATAAGAGCACTGGCTGCTCTTCCAGAGGTCCTGAGTTCAATTCCCAGCAACCACATGGTGGCTCACAACCATCTGTAATAAGGTCTGATGCCCTCTTCTGGCCCATAGGGATACATGCAGGCAGAATATTGTATATATAATAAATAAATAAATCTTTAAAAAAAATAAATAAAACCAGAGGCTAGTGGTTCTGAAGATTCAGGATTCATGATAGAAAAACAAACAAGCCTGGCAGTTCATCAGAAAGCTAATCATAGAGCAGCTGGAGAGATGGCTCAGAGGTTAGAGCACTGGCCCCTCTTGCAAAGGGGCTGAGTTCAATTCCTAGCACCCACATCGCAGCTCACAACTGTTAAGTCTCAAGGGATCAGACACCCTCTTCTAGCCTCCATGGCTACTGTACACTTGTAGTCAACAGACACACATGTAGGCAAAAACCCATACACTTAGCAATAAGTAAAAAATGTTTTTTAAAACCAATATGGCTGCAGTTCTCCTGCTTCATGCATAACCAAGAGAATGAAAAGAGATGTTCAGGCAAAGTGTGCCCACCAGTGCTCATGGCAGCACTAGTCACCATTGCCAAGAGATGGAACCATACAGGGACATCCCCTGATGAAGACTTAAACAGAACCGTAAGCTGGGCAAAGTGGCCCAGGCCTGTGACCCCAGTGTTTGGAAGGTGGAAGTAGAAGGTTCAACAATTCAAGGTCATCCTTGGCTACATGGCCAGTTCCATACCATCCTGGGCTACTTGAGACCCTGCCTCAAAAACAACAAGACAAAAAAAAAAAAAATGAGCCTGGGAAAAATACAACATGAAAGAAGCTAAACACAAAGGGTAGCACATAAGATCTTTTAAAAATTTGTATGATATATCCAGAACAAACAAATCCATACAGACAGTGCAGGTGCGCGGTTGCCAGGCACCCGGGGAGGGAAGTGGGTAGTGACGACTGATGGGTACTGGGCTGTCATTTGTGATGATGCTGAGCTCTGGAATTTGGTGCTGCTATGGCTACACAACTTTGTGACTATACTAAAAACCACTGAATTGGTACCTTAAAATAGTGATGTTGATTTGTACCAATTGTTTCTAAATTAAGAAATGCACAGGATGAAAGGAGGTGGGGTTTGGCTTTGGCTGTGCTCATGGATCAAGATAGCTATGGTGGACAACTAGAACCTGAAAGAACTGTGGGACCGGCCATGTATGGGAGTCAGGGAAGGTCAGGGGTGACCTGCAGGTGGCGATAGTGAGCTGATTGGAGAAGGCTGGACTTGCCGCTGCCCGCCCCCCACTTCCCACCTCTTCACTGAAGCATGCTGTCGAAGCCATATGGAAGCCAGCCCAGCCCCTGGCCACACACAGGGGCTATAGAAACATCCCCTCGGTACGTTAGAGCACTGGGGACACCCTTGCACTACAGAGATGGCTGTGCTCCAAGACCAGCGCCCTCAGGGGAGCCCAATGGGGATTGCCGCCCCATAGTGCGATGGGAAATGACGCAGGAGCGACAAGAGCCCTGCAGAGTGTGAGGCAGAGTGCATGGGAGCTGTCCTGATGACTCCGTGGGAGAGGTGGCAGGGAGGAACAGGTCGGGCTCTAACTGACAACGCAAATCTGTTCCTCAGGGCACCGGAGAATGTTCTGGATCTGGTCAGGCTGAGACTCCAAAAAGAGGCTTTGTTCCCATGGAGGAAAACTCTATCTACTCCTCCTGGCAAGAAGGTGACTCAGGGGAGACCCCAGGGCAGCCTCACACCCACCCCAGCAGTGGTCTCTAACAACTGATGAAATGTCCTTGCTTCCTGAGTACAGTGGCCGAATTTCCAGTGGTCGTCCAGAGGACGGAGGCCACCACCCGCTGCCAGCTGAAAGGCCCCTACCTCCTGGTGCTGGGCCAAGATGACATTCAGCTTCGGGAGGCTTCTAATCCCCAGGCCTGCTACAGCTGGCCCTACCGTTTCCTGCGCAAGTTCGGCTCCGACAAGGTGAGGTGCTGGCCAGCCTGAAGGGTCACTGTAGGGAAAGGTGGTCAGTGTCCTGGCTCCTCAGCCACTGACCCCTGCCTATGTCTCTCGCATGCAGGGCGTGTTCTCTTTTGAGGCCGGTCGCCGCTGTGACTCGGGTGAGGGTCTTTTTGCCTTCAGTAGTCCTTGTGCCCCAGACATATGTGGAGCTGTGGCTGCTGCCATTGCCCGCCAGCGGGAACGTCTTCCAGAGGCAGCCACGTCCCCGCCCTGCCCCCTGCCTCGGGCCCTCTCCCTGCCCTCCCTAGAGCCCCCTGGAGAGCTTCGGGAAGTGGCCCCAGGGTTTGAGCTGGCCACTTCCAGAAAGCTGCCTATGGTTGATCATGGGCCTCAAAGCCTGCCGCTGCTGCTCAGTCCTACACAAGAAGAAACAGTATCTGGTCTCTATGCGTCTGTGTGCAAGCAGACCAGCAAGCCCACAGCCACTGGAGAGCACCTCTATGAGAACCTGTGTATGCTGGAGGCCAGTCCTGGGCTGTCCAATGGGGGCCCTAAGTCCCAAGAGGGCCCTCCGGGCCACAGTCCCCTATCCAGCCCCATCTATCACAACAGTGAGGACCTGAGTTGGCCTGGCTCGGCCCAGGATAGCAGCTTGGAAGCCCAGTACCGGAGGCTGCTAGAGCTGGAACTAGATGAGGCTGGAGGAACTGGCCGCTCCGGTGCACAGGCAGGCATCAAGGCCAAGCTGGTGACCCTGCTGACCCGTGAACGGAAGAAGGGCCTTGCTCCCTGTGACCGGCCCTGAAGGCCTGTGCAGTGACCGCAAGACAGAGGAACCTGAGAGCGCAACTTCAAACATAGCCTCTGTCTGCTCTGGACCTGCAGGGACAAGCCAGGCAGCAGGGAGGAGCCACCTGCTGCCCCACCCACTCCCAGTGGACAGTGTACAGATTGATGAATAATAAAGCTTGCCTACCAACTTCCCCTCCCTTCTGCCTATGGCCCACAATCTACGCTGCCTTGCTTTTACCTGGGTCCCTACTGAAACACCGTATGCTAGTGTTCATTGTAGCAAATCCCAGGCCCTTATGCTGGGCCCGGAGACTGAGCGTCCTGATCCTGACTTCAGCCACCGCTGAGCTAAAATCTACTTGAGCAGACAGACAAGAGGCAGTTTGGGCTCTATGTGGTTCTGTGTAGCAGGAATGACAACCAAACAGAGGGAGAAATGGGCTCTGTTAACAGAAGTGCCCCTAAACTGAGTCGGAAGGGTAAGCATGGCCCATCCAGGCAAGCTGTGGGGCTGGCATTCCAGGCTCAGGAGGGTCATTTATGGAGCAGAGTCACTACTTGGCTGCTGTTCTGCTGTAAACTGGGGGTCATCCTTGGAAAAGATAACAGTTAGGCTTGTCGAAGGAACGATAAGAAGACTGGGCCTGAGGGAACAGAGGACCGCAAGGCAGCTGAGCTGTGGAGGGGGTGGCGGGCACGGGTTGGAGTGGTGTGGTGGGGAAGGACAGGAAGAAGGACTGTAGATTGTACACACCTAAAACACTCGTGCCCAATAGAACTCAAGCATTGTGCAGACATCTGGAGAACCTCTGGCTTGCTTCATCAACTGTAAAGAAACAATAAAAATTAAAAAATAAAATCATGTGGGGCTGGAGGCAGAGTCAGTGGAAATACCTAGGATGAGGTATACCCTGGGTTCAATCTTCAACACACACACACACAGAGAGAGAGAGAGAGAGAGAGAGAGAGAGGCACACTCTCAAGTAAAAAAGACTACATTATCCAGGAAGCAGAGACGAAGATCTCTGTGAGTTTGAGGCCAGCCTCGTCTCCATAGAAAGTTCCAAGATAGACAAAGCTACAAACGAGAGTATACCAAAAAATAAACCAGATGAACACACACACAAAAACCCCACCACCAAGAGTAACAACATCAAAAGATTAAATCATACAGTAAGTTATATATTAGATTTAAGATTTCTACTTGGGGTGGGCAGAGGTGTTAGAGGGGTGGCTCAGCAGTTAAGAGCACTGGCTGTTTGCTCTTCCAGAGGATCCAAGCTCATAACCACCCTCTAACTCGTTCTAGAGAACCCAATGCCCTCTTCAGCTTCCACAGGCAATGCATGCACACCTTGCACAAACATTCATGTAGTTAAAACATCCAACACACACACACCAATCTTTTTTTTAAAAAGAGTTTTATTGAAACTGTGGTAGGGAGATAAGTCAGTGGATAAAGAATGTGTCACTGGAGCTGGGATTCCCAAAACCCACGTAAAAGCTGAGGTGTGTTGCTACCTGTAATCCCCGCTCCTGGGAGGCACAGACAAGATTCCAGTGGCAAACGGGCTAGGTAGACTAGCCAGAGTCAGCGAGCTCCAGCTTCAGTGAGACTCTCAACAAAATGGGAGACAATGGGGAAAGACACTCAGCGTCAACTTCTGGATTACACACACACAACACGCACAGACATATGCATGTGGAACCCACACATGCACACATAACACACACGCACACGCACACACACACACACATGCAAAAAAAGTCCTCTGTCAACCCCAGTGCCTACACTGCTTCCAGATACTGGGGAGCATTCTATGTTCAAGACAGCTTCAGCTGTACTCACAAGGAGCCAGCATTCCACAGCTAAATGAGCAAATTAATTTTAAGACTCCAGTGCCCATTTTCCCTTGCCATCCCTTCCAGGCTCGCTGCCTGGGCATAAGGCACCGTGCCCACTTCCCAGTTCTGGCTTCTCAATCTCTGGACTTGCTGCATTAGCTGCCCACAGCGATAGACAAGGTCTGCAGAGCTTATGCTTGCCTTAAACCCAAGCCTCGGTCTCTCACTACTGAGATTCTAGACATTCGTGCTCAAGTTGTCTACACCGTTGACACTCCCAAGCCCCGTCCTCACGACAGTGACAACCAGTCTTGCTTCCTAGCATCTCTGGTCACCTCTTCCCTTACACTCTCCTCCCCCACACCTCACTCTTGGAGTCCCTCCTCCCCTCCTCTTTGGTTTGACTGTCAAAGTCCTCAGCTTCTGGTGAATTCACTGGTAGCTGCCCAGCTGGAGAAATCCACTTAGGAAAGCTTGACTGTGTTCTTGCACATAGGCAGGCTCCCTTCTGTGCTGGTTTGAAGGAGAATGGCCCCTGTAGGCGCATATGTTTGAATTCTCGGTCCCCAGTTAGTGGCACTCTTTAGGAAGGATTGGGGGTGTGTGGCCACGTAGGAGTGGGAATGGTCTTGTTGGAGGAGGTGTATGTGATGGGCTTAAAGGTTTCAAAAGTTTCCTACTTGTAGATCAGATGCAAGCTGCTGCTCCAATACCATGCCTACCTGCCACCTCGCCATGCTTATTGTGATAAACAAGGAGTAACCAACTCTGAAACTATAAGGAAGTCCCCAAGTAAATGCTTTCTTTTATAAGCTGCCTTAGATATGGTGTCTCATTAAAGCAACAGAACAGTAACTAAGACATCTTCAGACCTTTCCGTTTCCACCCACTCACCTCCTAGACACTGTCAGAAATGAGCAGTCAACAGAGGTGGCCCTTCCACCTCCCTCTGCTGCACTGACAAAGGAGCCAGCATCTTAATCTTCTTTCAGTATCTAGAAGGAGCTCCCACCTGAAACATCCAGTGAGTTTCTCTTTGGGGCTTTTCTCATTCAGTCAGTCAGTCCCCAGTATCAGCATCTTGCTGTCCCCATCCACGTCCAGCCGTGCAGGAGCTGATTGATGGTCTCTGATTTCACGTCTCCAAAGAAACCTTCCTTTCACCCCACGCTCTCCTTCCACCACCTCCCCGTTTCTCTGTCCTGCTCCCCAGCGAAACTCCTCAAAAGAGTTGAATTACTCTCATTTCCAGTTTCCCACCCCCACTCTCCCTGACTTGTTTCCTCTTTATCTACTGTCCCACTACATAACTTTTCAAAGTCAACAACTATCTACCAGACCAGGCTGCATATGGAGACATTGGAACCCTTCTGCTTCCTGACAACATTCCTCGCCCCTGTCTGAATGCTTCACGAAGTTTTCCCGCCCTTTTCCAGTGCCTCCTTCACAGGGAGTCACTTTTCCTTAGTGTTCAGGATTGAAGCCAATGCCTTTGGTCCATGTTAGCCCTGTTCTCCCACTGAGCTGCGGAAGCGGCCCCCCAGCCTCTTTTGCTTCTCCTTTCTGTCTCTGATCCTCTCAGAGTTCTTACAGTTAAAAGTGAGTTCAGCCTGGCTCTGTGTGAGATCACTTGGAGGCCTTTGAAGGATGCCCGTGGCTAGGCTCACACACAGAGCTTGATTTTTATCTATTAAATACATGGAACCTTGGCATCAGTGCTTCGTTTTTCAAATTCTGGCACTATCCTAACATACAACCTGAGCTGAACCACTGCCATAAGTGAGTTAGTTAATCACCTGGTTTATTTTATTAAGATTTATATTTATTTTGAGCCGGGCAGTGGTGGCGCACATCTTTAATCCCAACACTCGGGAGGCAGAGGCAGGCAAATCTCTGTGAGTTCGAGACCAGCCTGGTCTACAAGAGCTAGTTCCAGGACAGGGTCCAAAGCTACAAAGAAACCCTGTCTCAAGAAACCAAAGAAAAAAATTACATTTAGTTTATACGTTTGTGTGCTTTGTGTGTATGTGTGCATCAATTGTATGCAGTGCCCATGACAGCAGAAGAGGGTGAAGGGTTTGGGTACTCTGGAACCAGAGTTATAGACTCCAGTTCTGTTAGTCATTATGTGGATGCCAGGAACAAAACCTGGGTCCTCTGTAATACCAAAAAGTGTTCTTAACTACTGAGTCATCACTCCAGCCTCATATATCACTAAAATTTAAAGGCCATCTGAATGTTGATAATTTCCAGAGAGGTGTCCACCTTCAACATAGACTTTCTGGGCTTAAATGGCTAAAATTTAATTTAATGGCTTTAATTTAGCATTTAATGGCTAAAAGTGCTTACTGCCCTACCAGAGGACCAATGTATGTACGACAGCAGCCATGTGAGGTGTCTCACAAATGCCTGCAACATCAAGGAATAATACAACTTCTGGTCTCTAATAAATCTCTACACACACAGCACATATCCACACCCACACACCAAACACCCTACACACACCACACACCACACACACCACATGCACATACATTATACACCCATACACACATCACACACACACCACACACATACCACACACACACACACACACACACTACCCACACACCACACACCCACATGACACACACCACAACACACCCCACACACCCCACACCCACACACTACACACCCACACACACATGACACACTCACACACCACACATACCACACACATACCACAGCCTCCCTACCCACACACATGACACACCCATACACACACACACACCACACACACACACACACACACACACACACACACACATGCGCTTCCCACTCACTCCAGTGTAGCAGGCTTTCTTGGACTGTCATCCCCCAGATCATGGCAAAGAGACTTATTATAATTATGAATGCCCAGCCTTAGCTTAGGCTTGTTTCTAGTCAGTCTTGTTTATACTTAAAATAACTCAGTTCTGTACTAGGACTTTCCTTTGGGCTGTCAGCCCCAAATAACAACACGGAGACTTATTATTAATTATGAATGTTTGACCTTAGTTTAGGCTTGTACTGCTAGCTCTTATAACTTAAATTATTCCGTATTTTTTATAAATCTATGTTCTACCATCTGGCTTTTACCTCACTCACATTTTGTGTGTCTGATTTGTTTGGCTCCTCAATGGTGTCTGCTTCCTCTCTCTGTCCTCAAGTACTACCTACCTTCCCTGCCTAGCTATTGGCCATTCAGCTCTTTATTAAACCAATCACAGCATTACATCTTCACACAGTGTACAAATATCCCACAACACATTTTTATAGTCTTTATGCCTCCCGAGGCTTGTTTACCTTGTTTACAGACTGTTTATCCTGCTGTCCTGCTTCCCCTAAGTCTGGCTCTCTGTCTGCCAGTTCTGCTTATTCTGCCTCTGCCTAGCTATTGGCTGTTCAGTTCTTTATTAGACCAATAGGGTACCTTAGGTAGGAAAGGTGCAACAGCAACACAGCTTTACCTAGTTAAACAAATGCAGCATAAACAAAAGTAACACATCTTTACATAGTTAAACAAAAGCAACACACCTTTACATAGTTAAACAAAAGTAACACACCTTTACATAGTTAAACAAAAGTAACACACCTTTACATAGTTCAATATTCTATTCCGCAATTCTCTAGATTTAAGAAGTTAACTGCACATCTCTATATCTAAAAGACATTTCGAGGTTTAGAGCTGTAGCTCAAGGACACAACATTTATCCAATATTCTTGAAGCCCTTGATCCCAACACTGCCAAAAGAAAAAGTGTCTCCAAGCCTAATGTAGATATGTAGGAAATGAAGCTTAATGAAGATAAGTAGGAAAATCAGGACTCTGTGCAGTACTGTTTCAAGGCATGTTTCAGAGCAGAGAGAAAAGTCTAGAAGGATGTTAGAACCATGAGAGGCAGGTTTGCACGCCACTCACCAAACACTGACCAATAACGTCATCCCCAACTGATCAGAATGCCATAGAGCAGTCAAGGCCAGGAAACTCCTGTCAGATTAGCTGCAGGACATCTTCTCCCACAGTGGCTAGTCCTAGCCCTGGCTAGCTCCTTAAGAACTAGACACACGAGTCATGGTCAGACCAAAACTGGAATCCAGAACTCTTGAATCCTCAGTCTAGTGACCTCTTCCTTAACTGAAACTCCAAGTCTCAGGGCTGGGGATGTGGCTCAGTGGTAGAGATGTTCCAGGATGTTCAGGATCCTGTGATGGTCCCCAACACTACAAGAGGAGAAAAAAATCTAAACCTTAGTTGGGGGTCATGGCCCACTGTAATTTCTGATCTAAAGGCTGAGACATGTTAAAGAGTTCTGGGCCAGCCTGGATATTCCACCATGTTCCAACCATGTTGGAAAAGATAGTCCTTGGACACCTTCAAGACTAAGAGACCTGGTCACGCTGGCTGGTGGGTGGTGGTACCTTTAATCCCAGCACTGGGGAGGCAGAGACAGGTGGATCAGTGAGTTCATGATGAATCTGGTTTACAGAGTGAGTTCCAGGACAGCCGGGACTACACAGAGAAACCCTGTCTGGAAAAAATATATATAATATAACTTACAATATGTATAATATGAATTATATATGAGAGGTGCTGGCCACGGAGCTGCAGGGATTCAGGTCACCAGGGGGCGCTGTATCCTTTCAGGTCCAGTGCCTGCTCCAACCCTGAGGCTGTGTGTTCCATGGGAAGATCCCAACATAGCACCTAGTCCCAAGCCTTTGTGTGGATCCAGAAAGGGGTCTGGAGGTCTTTCCTGTTTGCTGTATAAGCAGGAGTCACCAGACTGCCAGTTCCTCTTTTGTTCATTTCTTACTTCATTTTTGCAAACCTTCCTTCCTTCCTTCCGTTCACTCACCTCAATTCTGTGCAGGCACTGCAGACAGGAGAGAGGAGTCCCGGATCTCAGGAGACAATGAAGACAGTATGTCAGAGGAACGTGCTGTGGGAAAATAAAGGAGGTTAAGGGACTAGGGTGTGAAACAAGTGTCGTGTCAGGGGACAACTGTTTTAATTTTTTTGGTGTTGTGTGTTGTGTCCCCCCACCGTTTCCCCTCTCCTCCCATCTCCCCATTCATTCCCCCCCACCCACACAGGGTTTCTGTACGTAGCCCTTGCTGGCCTGAACAGGGCCTGGAACTCAGATCTATCTGTCTGCCTCTGCCTCCCAAGTGCTGGGATTAAAGGCATGCACCACCACCACCTGGCTAAATTTTTTTAAAATATTTATTTATTTATTATGTATACAATATTCTGTCTACATGTGTGCCTACAGGCCAGAAGAAGGCACCAGACCTCATTTCAGATGGTTGTGAGCCACCATGTGGTGGCTGGGAATTGAACTCAGGACCTTTGGAAGAGCAGGCAATGCTCTTAACCGCTGAGCCATCTCTCCAGCCCCCCTGGCTAAATTTTTTAAATTTATATTTTTATTATTTTATGTGTATAAGTGTTTGTCTGCATGTGTATCCGTGCACCGTGTACATACCTGATGCACATGGAGCTACAGACGCCCATGAGCTTCCTTGTGGGTGCTGGGAATCAAACCTGGGTCCTTTGGAAGAGCAGTCAGTGCTGTTAACCACTGAGCCAGCTCTCCAGCTGGGACTGATGATTTAGACAGGAAGGTTAGAGAAGCCCCCCTGGAGGAGGCAGTGTTCAAACAGAGGAGATTTTTCTAGAAGTCTATTTTTTGTTCTCCAGAAAAAAAGTGTTTTAAGCAAAAGGAATTGCAAGATCCGAAGGGACCCTGAGGCAAGAGTGCGCTTGGAGGTGTGGAGAGAAGGCCAGGAAGGTGTAAAGGGAATGTGCAGGCCTGGGAAGGAGGCTGACCCAGTTTTTCCGCTTCTCTCTTTCCCAGTATTAGAGATTCAGACCTCGGGTCTCGCGCAGTTTCCTCCCCTCCTTTGCTTGTATTTTATTTATTTATTTATTTATTTATTTATTTATTTATTTATTTATTTATTTTGAAGCAGGGTCTCCCTACATTGCCCAGGCTGGCCTTGAACATGCAACCCTCCCCCCCACCCCAGTAGCTGGGATTACACAGGCCTGTGCCGCCAGGCTTAACACTTGACCCAGTTTCTTAGTCTTGCGTAGGTCTTGAGGATTTCAGTTTTATTTTAAAAGTATTGTGAGCCCACTGGCATGCTAAAAGATGAGGTGTGATCTCTGCTTTAAGAATATCACACAGGCGACTCATGAAGCCCGCAGGGGTAAGGGGGAGAGCGGAGTGATCAGCTCGGGGACAGAGGCTGTTAGATGTGGAAGCATAAGATGGCAGCGGAAGAGCAGCAAAGATTAGCTGTGGAAGAATCTTAAAGGTGGAGTTTGCAGATTTGGGGGATGACAGAGATAAGAAAAGACATGTAACCTCATAGGCTCTACTGAGCCGATTGGGTGAATGATGTCACTGACTGAAACCAGGAAGCAGTTAGAAGAATTTGAATTGGGACACTCGGTTTGAGATACTTGCCTAGCAGACATCCGGACAAGGTATTAATTATTGACGCCTGTGGTTCCTCGGGGAGAAGCATGGGTTGGTCATTTTTGGTGTTACTGAAAACCAAGGACAATATGGGCTCTTAAGATGTGAGAATCGTGATCAGATGGCCCAGACAGGAGGCGGATGAGGAGCTAGTGAGGGAAGAAAGCCTTAGAGCCAGGGAGAAAGGTCATTTTAGATGAGGAAACTCTGGGCTTGGCGGTGTGATCTCAGCACTCAGGAGGTAGAGGCTAGAAGATCTGGAATCCATGCATCTTCAAGCACAGCTGGTCTACATCAGCAGACCTTATTTTATTTTACTTTTATTTTATGCGTATGGCTGTTCTGCCGACATGTAAATGTGTGTGCTACGTGTGTGCCTAGTGACTGAAGGGGTCAGAAGAGGGCACTGGATCTTGAAAGAGGAAAAGTAAAAGAAATGGCTCAGTCTAGCCTTGATCAGCATTCCTCAGTAGGACAGGATGAAACCTGAAGGCTGCTGCTGATTTGATGGAGGCTGTGGAGACCTCGGGAAAGCGGCAGAGTTGGGAGACAAGGGATCACCAGAGGAAAGAACAATGAGTAGACTAGACTACCGAGGAGGATTTTTTTCAAAGGTGACAACTCCCGGGAGGGAGTTTGAGTAGTTAGGACCATGATGGAGAAAGGGGATGATGTAATGATGGTCCTGGGAGGGGCAAGGGAAGGTTGTGCACCCCACCACTCAGTCAAACACTCAGCGGAACTCAGCGTTCTGCCCTTCTGCCTTGGCTAAGGGTAAAGTAGGGACTCTGAGAACACCCCATGGCAGCCCCTTCCACCCCAACTCCATAGGAGGGACTGTGTACTCCAGTGGGGGTATAAAGGGGATATGATCCATGCTGAGAGTGGTGCTGGCAGCTTAGGTGGAAGTCGCAGGACCGTGGACTGTTGGTTCTGTCTGGATGGACTCACACTGCCAGGCCCCAAGTGGATCAAGGGGCCCTCTCCAACTCTGTTGCTGGGACAACAGAGACTGTCGGCTCTTACTATTTACTCACTTACTCACTTCTTTATTGGCTTCCAGATTGTCCTGCGAGCCTCACTTTGGTTGATTGGTTTTGGGGATTGAACCAAGGGCCTCCGACAAGTTAAGCAGGTGCTCTACCACTGAGCTACATCCCCAACCCTCGGAAAGCTAACTTGAAACTACCCTGTCTCGCTCCATTCCCTGGAATTTAGGCAGTCCAAAATCTCTGATGGTGCCGTCCATATTGACCCCTACATTATCCCTGACAGAAGGGTGTTATGAGGCCATTTTCCCCCACAAAGGGAGAACAAGGAGAGAGAGACCACCAAAACCTGGGTGTTTTAAAAGGTTGCTTTTTCTTCTCTGTCGCCAGTGGGAGGCGCAAGGGGCTTGGGTGAGAGCCTGGAGCAGGGCGCAGGCTGGGCGTTGATTGGGCTCGAGAGAGTAAGTGCCCGGGTAAATGCCCGATCTGTCCTTGCCTCTCCCGGAGACTCAAGGCTTATAGACCGGGTGGGTCCTCCTACCGACCCCGGGATGTCCACTCGCGTGGCCTGAGGAGGGCGTGGCCTAGGGCTCCGCCCCCTTCCGCGGGCTCAAATTGCGTGGCGTCCGCGGAGGCGGGGTCAGAGCGCAGCGGCGGATCCCAGCGCGGCTCCGGGAGGCTGCGGAGCAGCGGCCCAGCTGGGCGCTCAGGTACGGGCGGCCGCGAGGGGACTTCGTGGGCTGCAGTCCGTGGGGTCCCTTGACCTTCTGAGGTGCTGGTGAGGGCGTGGGCGGTCGTGGCCTGTGCCAGATTCCCTCGGTTAGCTTCGGCCGCAGCCTCCGCCCCCGCCTTCCTGCGGCGAAGTGGGACTGATTGGCGCCTGCGCCACCGTGTGCGGTGGGGACGCGGCCAAGCGCCGGGCTGGGGCGGGAGACGAGGGGAAACAGAGTCACGTTGGGAAGGGAGGAAGCTTCGTGCGTGGGTGGCACTACTTTCTCTGACTTCCATAAAGAATCCCGTCCCTGGCTTCGCGTTAGGGACTTGACCCCGTCACTCTCCACAGAGCCAGTACCCATCTTCTTCCCCCCCTTGCTGTGCCCAGGGGTCCCGCCCTGGCTGCCTGCAGCCTCGACCTGTCCCAAAAATGGCTAGAACCCACTCCAGCGGTCTCCTTCTCCACCCCTCCCCCTCACATCCCGAGCCCCTAAAGTGCTCCCTCCACGGGCTCTCCACAGTGTCAGCTTACAAGCCTTATATAGTCCGAGCAGGCTCCAGCGGCCTGCTGGGACCCGGGAAAGGAGGGGGAGCTGGCCCCTGACTCACCCTACTGCCCTCCTGAGATTCCAGGTTAGCTTGGGCCAAGCAGTGCCAATTAGCCCCACAGCCCACCCCTGGAAGAGAAAAGCAGTCGAGCTTGATGAGGACTTTCCTCACCCTCTCGGTAGCAGGGGGCAGGGTGGGGAGCTGACTTGCCTGTTGCCTGTGAGGTCTGCCTGCCAGGAGCCCCGCCAAACCCGACCAGATACCTGCCTGTGTATGCTGAGCGGCCGCCTGTGCTTTCTGGTACCTGGGCAACGCTAGTGATGAGATCTGGACCTGCCCGCCAGTTTGCAGTGCTGAAGCTCACGTTCTCCCTTTCCCTCACAGAACAGACACCATGGATTCCTTCAAGGTAGTGCTGGAGGGACCAGCACCTTGGGGCTTCCGGCTGCAAGGGGGCAAGGACTTCAATGTGCCCCTCTCCATCTCTCGGGTGAGCCTAAACTGGGGAGTGTACTCCCCAAGGGTTCTTGGGTGCTCTTGTGTTCGGGAAATGATGGGAATTATAGGAGCATGCTGGGGCCAACGGGACAGGACTATCTTGATCCAAATAGACACTTGTTCCAGGGACTCCCAACTAGGTGGTCAGTAGCAGAGGAGCCCCAGCCCCCAGCTGTGCTATTCCACCAAGCCCCCTTGGCAATCTGTGCGTGCCAAGGAGAAACCGATTCTGCAGTATGGGATCCCGGCTGATGTCTCCAAGAAGTGTCTTAGCTTGGAGAGCAGCGTGTGGAGCCAGGTGCCAAGCAGCACCTAACTTTAATGTCACTGCTCTCCAAGGATGGCAATTGTCATCCTGCTTTGCCAAGTGACAGAACTTGGAGGGATGGAGGAGCTCATTCAGCAAGTCTCTGGCAGAGCAAGGATATGAATTGAGGCACAAAACGGCTTGTCCCTTCTGTAAGTTTAAGGAAGAGGATCTCTTCCCAAGCTGAGTGAGGACCCGAGTCTCAGTCTGCTGGTTCTAGTCAGTCTGTAGTGACCTTTGACCCTAAGCAGAGGTGTAGTGAGGCTGGCCTCTTGGATTCTTGTTCCCATTCCTCTGTCTGATGGGGGGTTGGGCTGGGGCTGACTCCTCCCTGTGGCAGGGGGATTGCCTTATAAGCCCAAGAATGCAGCCCCAGCTGGGATGGCCAACAGTGGCTAGTCAACAGAACCCAAAAGGGTTGGCCTAGGTCTAGGCCCCTCAGTCCCATTGGTGGGCCCCTCACCTGATTCATCCATCAGTCATTGTGTCAGTAGGACTTAAAACCAACTGTGCCAGAGCGGGTGAGGCAGCACGCCAACTTGGTATCTCTGACTGACCTAGAGGGTCAAAAAGGGGGCAGGGACTTCCTGCCCTGATATCCGCCTGCCTAGGAAGGCCCACCCAGCCTTGGAGTAGGCAGGCAGCTGTTGGCAGGAAACCCAGGGCAAGCCCAACCCAGAAGGGCCTGAGAATTTCCCAGCACTGCTCAGCCTGAGAGGGATGTCAAGGCTGCATCTCTGTGGGAGCCAGACATGGTGACCAGGGCAGGCAGGCATTCAGACTGCATTCTCCCCAGGATCCTTCAGGGTAGGCAGGAAGGCAGGCAGGCAGGCATACAGGCTGTCTTCTTCCCAGGACCCTTCCCTGGGGCTGTCTTGGAATCTGCCCCGACCAGCAGGGTGACTAAGAGCAATGGACCCTTCCCCCACACATACATCCTACATCTTCTTCCCCTCTGGGAAAGTGCTGGCCAGTGTGGTGTAGGTTTTGGTTTCTTCCTCGGTAATGATGGCCTCGGAGATGTTGCCTGTTGGGGGCACTCTGGTCCCTGAGCTCCTTTGTCAGCAGCCTTAACGTGTGGGTGGGGCCACCAGCTGAGCCCTGCCCTGGAATGGGGCCCTGATGGGTGGGGTGGGCTTTTCTAAATTGGGCCAGCCTGCTCGCTATCCCTCCCCTGACCCCAGAGTAGAGGGAGGTAGGAGGGGCTAGGGCTGGCTGTGGGCCCAGGCTTGGAAAATGAGGTAATGTCTGGGATTTGGGGGTTGGGCTGCTCCATGGAGCTCCCAGGCTGACTCACCCACATCTGTAACACTGTCCAGTCCCCTGCTTTTTCCCTCCTTAATCTCACTAGCCACCTTTCCCAAAGGACCCTTCCCGATGTTGCCTTCTCCCACTCTGCCTGCTGTCTGACCCCTCAAATGCTTCCTCCTGCCCTCCTCACTCCTCCACTCCTTTCTAAGGGACCAATTGCTCCTCCTCAGAAGACCCCCCCCCCCGCACCTCAGTCTCACCCCACACCTCTCAGGAAACAGCCTGTATAGGAAGGAGTGGCTAAACCAGGTTTCCATCTATCGGTTGACTCACCATGACCATATGCAAGTCACTTCCCCTTTGGGGAGTCACTTCCCTGTCCCCATTATAAGGCACTGATGGGAGTGAAATAAAGGTGAGAGGGGTGTGAAGACCCCAAATTAGCTAAGGCATGAAGGAGTCTCTTTTCAGACAAGGTCTGGAATTGAACTGCCAGTCTTGCTCAGCGTGCCCGAGTGTTGGCATTGCGGGTGTACAGTGCTAGGCCTGGTACCTAATTTTTTTTTTAATTTCTTAAAAAATTAATTTATTTATTTTGAGACAGGGTCTCTTTATAGTCTTGGCTGTTGTGGAATTCACTGTGTAGATCAGACTGGCCTCTGCTTCCTGAGTGCTGGGATTAAAGGAGTGTGTCACCACCGCCCAGCTCCCCAGAGTCTTTATGGGGAGCTCCCCTCACCTGTGACTCCTGCACAGCCTCGGTGCCCTGTTCTGGTGGAGAACCAAACCCTGGCTGCAGCTCTTGCCGGCTGCATGACTTGAGTTCGGGTGTTGGCGGTGCTGTGTCTTTTCTGAGTGTGAGCAGGGTGTGTCCCCAGACTCCTCTGCAAGCATGCTGGGAGATGCGGTGTCAACCCTAGGTGTTCTGGGAGTTGCTATTCTTACCGGTTGTTAGCAGGTAAAGAAAGGGCTGTGACTCACCCTCTCTCTCCTCTGCTCACCTCCCCTTCAGGCACAGAATAGAGCTGTCAAGTCCAGCTCCCCTTCTGTCCTAGTGTCTGTAATCTCTGAGTCAGAGACTGTCCTTAGCGTCCCCAGAACCTCTCCGCTTTCCCTCTGCTTCAGTCCACACTGCAGGAGCTCACCTGAGGAACCTGCTGGGGCCTCTGACAGCCTGCACTCCACTTTTCCTACTACCTGTGAAGTGTAAACTCAGTCTGCTCTGTGTGGTGCCTGACCCTTTGCCAGATAGACCAGTGGCCCTTGATCTCAGACCTCTGGATGACTACCATGTCTCCAGTCCTTTTGGCTTTGAGTTGGGAATTTTCTGGTTTGGGTGGCAAATGGGGGAATGTAGTAGGCCTGGTGGAATGGTGGTCGCCAGCACTGGCTGACAAAACAAAACAAACAAACAAAAAACAAAACAAAACAAAAGAGTATGCAGCCGTGAGAGCAAGAGTACCTTTATGAAGGCAGTCAGTGCCTGGGGAAGGAACTGGGGAGCGGGGCCTGCGAGTAATGGCTCAGGACCCTGATACAGGTAACGCTGATCAAACCTACTAGGCCTTTGTAGCCCAATCTTAGCAACTCAGATGGGTAACCATCCGTGGAGGGCAATCCGGTGAGTGAAAGAAAGAGCCCATCAAGCAGACCAACAGAGACCTGAAAGGCTGTGGTCCTAGCTTGCAAGTGTGGCCTTTAGCCTCAAGGTGGCTGTCTGCCAGCTGTGTCTGGACTGTGAGGGAGGGTCACAGAGGAGAACAGACAATCAAGCTGTGGAATGGTCAGTTGTGCAGCTTGGGTGTGCATGTGCCCATGGGCCTCTGACCGTTCCTCCCCCCAGCTCACTCCTGGAGGCAAAGCTGCACAGGCTGGTGTGGCCGTGGGAGACTGGGTGCTGAGCATCGATGGCGAGAACGCAGGGAACCTCACACACATTGAGGCCCAGAACAAGATCCGTGCCTGTGGGGAGCGCCTTAGCCTGGGTCTTAGCAGGTACGGGGGTGGGGGATGAGGAGTTGGGGGTGAGACAGGATGAAGGGGTGAGGGCATCTCTGGTCTGGCCCACCTGCCATCACCCCTTTCTCTTCTTCTCCAGAGCCCAGCCTGTTCAGAGCAAACCCCAGAAGGTAGGTTGTGCGGGCAATATCTAGGCTGAGGAAGGGAGGGGCTTGGACTAATGGCTGACCTGCCCTCCCTGACCCAGCCTTGGTACCCTCTTCCTGGTTAAGGGCAGAGGGCAGATGCCAGTATGGGCAGTATGTGGGAACTGAGAGTGGAGCTAGGAGCTGCCGCACGGTCTGGGCGCACACGTGCCTGCCTGTCTGTCTGCCTGCTTCTTCCCACGAGCCTGTGCTGTGTGCGCCTGCCCATCCTTGGTCTCCCTTGGCACAGAGTGGGTTGAGTTCATCACTTCCAAATGGGCCCCTTGAAATCATAGTTACCCCTCCACCCTTAGCCTCTGGCCAGATGTGTAAGTGGAGCTGGACCTGTCACTGTCCTTGGTGGTGGTGACTCTGCTCCCACCTCAGCCCCCACTCCCACCCACCCTGCCCGGCTCTGTCTCTGCCCAGGCCCTGACCCCTCCCGCCGACCCCCCGAGGTATACTTTTGCACCAAGCGCCTCCCTCAACAAGACGGCCCGGCCCTTTGGGGCACCCCCACCTACTGACAGCACCCCGCAGCAGAATGGGTATGTCAGCCCCCACCCACTCGCCCACTCACTCCTGTCTGTGGTCCACACTGTCTAGCCCTGTCACAAGCACACACAAGCTGCCCGCTACTGCTCAGTCTGTGCTGTACCCCAGCCCCTTAACCGTGTGGCAGCAGTCCCTGGCGGCTGGGTAGGACTGTGGGCATAGAGCCCCACCTATGGCTGTTGCTCTTGCACAGGCTCTGCCCTCCTGGGCAGTCTGGGGTTGGGATGTGGTATTGGGCCAGGCTGAGTCTCAGACACTCATGGCCACCTTGCCTCCCTCTCCACTGCTCTGATCTCCCCCATCTTTCTTCTCCCGTGTCTGTCCCTTTATTTGTCTATCTGTCTTATTTCCTTCACAGGTGCAGACCCCTGACAAGTCAGTGAGCCCCCTCTTCCTCTCACTTTTTTCCTTCCTTTTGGCACCTTGGGTGGTAGCCCCTCCCTGCCCTGGCTACCCTCCTCCTAGCTCTCCTTTCCCTACCCACCCACCTATCCAGCAGGGCCCTTTGCCCCACCCCCTCACCCTTCCCCTCTCTCACCTGTCACTGTAACCCATTCACATCAGATCCTGGGAAGGGCTGCCCCTGGTGCTCACCGGAACCAGAGGTTCTGAGCCACACCCTTCCCACAGACAGTTGCTCAGACAGCTGGTCCCCGATGCCAGCAAGCAGCGGCTGATGGAGGACACCGAAGACTGGCGGCCACGGCCGGGGACAGGCCAATCCCGCTCCTTCCGCATCCTTGCCCACCTCACGGGCACAGAGTTCAGTAAGTGCTGGCCCAGGTCAGGGCGGACTCTCTGGGCCTTAGCCTAGGCCTGACTCTGCCAGGACTCGAGGCTGGGTGACGGTTGTTTCTCTTGGTCAATGCCTGCCTCTATCCTCTCAGTGCAAGACCCGGATGAGGAATACATGAAGAAGTCAAGGTAAAAGCTTGGGCACTAGCCCCTCTCCCTAACTTCCCACTCTTCCGTTCCAGCCACTGCCCGCATCTGCTCCCGCCTTCCCCTGCCAGGGCTCTCTTCTCTCCCGCCTTTCCTTCCCTCCATCCTCCCTGCCTCCCTTCCATCTCTCCTTCCTTTCATTTCCTCCTCCTCCTCTCTCTCTCTCTCTCTCTCTGCCCCTCAGGGAAAAGTATGTCCTGGAGCTACAGAGCCCACGCTATACGCGCCTCCGGGACTGGCACCACCAGCGCTCTGCCCACGTGCTCAACGTGCAGTCGTAGCCTGGCCCTTGCCAGCCTGCTGCCCTCTGCTGTCCTTTCTCTGCTACTCCCTCCCAGGGCACCCCATTGGTGCCCCAAGCTTTTGCCTACCGCTTTCATGTTCCTGACCTGAACCTCCTTCTGGCCTGGTCCTGGCAAGCCCGCCTGGCACAGGGCCTGGCTCCGTCTGACACTGCCTTCCCTCTTGGCCCTATGGTACTACTGTCTGCCAGGTCTGCACTGCCTTGAGCATGAAAATAAACGTTCTCAGCCCTGCTTCCTTTGCCTCTGTCTTCTGTCTTGTTGGGTCTGGTTATGTGTTTGTGTACGGGATGTTAAGTGGTTTAGACTTGGCGTGGGTCCTGTGGTCTGCTTCTCGGTGGGAGGAAGTACCTAACAAAGATGATGGTGCTATACCGTGGTTCTCCCGTATGGGAGGAGACCCGAAGGCTGCCATAGGAGCAGGACCCCCGTCCTGCTCCCTCGCTCAACACAGCAGACCAGATAGCTCTAACCTACTTAGGGGAAGCACCCCTTCCTACCTGTACCCCGGAGGGACCCGGAATCCACCCCAGCGTCTCTCATGCACTCAAGCTACACCCATGGGGCCACCACAACTGAAGTTAGGGGGTGGGACCATGCCCAGAGCCTCAGCCAGGCAGGGCCTTGAATAGCAGATCTTGCAGCCAGGTGCCCAGGACAGAAGCCCCAGCCCCAGCCCCAGCCTCAGCTATACCCCAGGAGCCCTGGCCTGGTAAGAAAGTGGGCTTGGGTCTGAAGAAGGGTGGGTAGCCTCCACGATCATAGGGGTGGTGGGCTTTTGTAGGCGACCCTGGGCTCTACCCTCTGCACTTTGGGCTCCCTGAGTACCCCTCTGAGTCTACTTTCCTTGGCTGTCAGGCCCCACCACCCCCAGCCCTACCAGCCGCCCACCCTGGGCCGTGGACCCAGCATTTGCTGAGCGCTATGCCCCAGACAAAACTAGCACAGTGTTGACCCGGCATAGCCAGCCAGCCACACCCACGCCTCTGCAGAACCGCACGTCCATAGTGCAGGCCGCAGCTGGAGGGGGCGCAGGAGGGGGCAGCAATAATGGCAAGACTCCCGTCTGCCACCAGTGCCACAAGATCATCCGGTGAGTGTTCCCCCCAACTCTGGTCTTTCCTGCACTGCTGCAACCTGGTCCTGGCTTGTTTTATCCACCTAAACAGCTGCTACTCTGAGAGAATGAAGAATTTGGTTGAAGCAGGCGGGATGCGGGATCTAGCGTGGAACCTCAGATCTTTTTAAATTTACTTTGCTTTTCATATGACCGTGTAGCCTGTGTGTGTGTATCTGTGCACCACTTGCATGCCTGGTGCCCACTGGTCCTTTAGAAAAGGACGTTGAAATTCCCTGGAAAACTGGACGGAGTTATAGAAGGCTGTGAGCCTTCATGTGGGTGCTGGGACACAAAGCTGGGTCCTGTGGACGAGCAGCAAGTGCTTTTAACTGCTGAGCCATCCCTGCAGCCCCCGATCCTCAGGTTCTTAATCCTACACTTCCTACCACATGCACACCAGTCTGTAGCAGTGAGAGCAGGGAGGTGCCAGCAGCACTCTGAAGCTGTGCCTCTCACTTTGCCACACTCGGGATAAAGAAGGCCTCCCTGTCTGCTGCTTCCCCCTCATGCTTGGGCTCCACTAAGCTGCTGCTCTCAGAACCAATTGGCCACAGGTACCTCCCTCTGTTCACTGCTCCCTGGAGCACAGCCAAGTCACACAGTCCTTCAGAGCCAGATTCTAGAACCTTCCTAGTTGGCCCTGGTGGGCTGCTCTTGTCTCCCATCAGCCCTTAGGCAAAGAATTTGTAAAATATCCCCTCCATTTATCTAGGGCCTCCAGGCCCCAGCTAAGGCAAAATGGAACAGGCAAGCAGAATGGTGTTCACCAGGATCTGTTGAAGGTTCATCTTCGCACTGGACACTAGTCCCCGCCCTCAGGAGTGTCTTGGTAGTCTCAAGCTCCCTCCCAAACCAGGGCACCAGAACAGCTTCCATCGTCAAGAGAGGTTGCCCTTACGTTTGGTCCCTCTACTGTATGGAGAAACCAGGCCTGTCTTCCTCCTGGAGTGCCTACCTCATTTGCGTTCATGCCGTCTCCCTGCAGGGGCCGCTACCTGGTAGCGCTGGGCCACGCATACCACCCTGAAGAATTTGTGTGCAGCCAGTGTGGAAAGGTTCTGGAAGAGGGTGGCTTCTTCGAGGAGAAGGGGGCTGTCTTTTGCCCCTCCTGCTATGATGTGCGTTATGCACCCAGCTGTGCCAAATGCAAGAAGAAGATCACTGGAGTGAGTGGGGCTGGCAGGAGGGCAGGAGGGCAGGAGGGCAGGAGGGCCGGGGGGCCAGGTGGCCCGGAGGGCCAGGTGGGCAGGAGGGCAGGTGGGCAGGAGGGTAGGTGGGCAGGAGGGCAGGTGGGCAGGCAAGAAAGCAAACGTTGACCTGTCAGCATTGTTCAGTGTGGGGCTCTCAGCATGAATCTCCAGGATCCTAACAACCTAACAGCCGAGACTGTAGTTCAGTGGTGGAGACTTGCATAGCATGAACAAGGCCCTGGTTCCGTTCTGTGTACAAATAGCCTCATCAGACATGGTGACATTTGCTCCTAATCCCAGCACTTGGAAAGCAGAGGCGAGAGGATTATGGGTAATAGGCCAGTCTGGGTTACATGGTGAGACTCTGCCTGGAGAAAACAAAAAACATTTTAGAAATGGCTTCAGTTTATACCAGCCTGGATCCATTTTTTGTTTGTTTGTTTGTTTGTTTGTTTGTTTGAAATGGGATTTCTCTTTCTAACAGCCCTAGCTGTCCTGGAACTTGCTCGGTAGAGCTGACTGGCCTCAAACTCCTAGATCTGCTTGCCTTTGCCTCCCGAGTGCTAGGATTAAAGGTTTGCATCACCACCACCCAACTAGCCAGGATAGTCTTAAAAGACCAACTTTTTTTTTTTTTTTTAAATTTTGGTGTATTTATTTTATGGGCATTGAGTACTTTGCCTGTATATATGTGTGTACATCACATTCATGCCTGGTGCTCTCAGAGGTCAGAAAGACAGTGTCCCTGAAATTGGAGTTACAAGTGGTTGTGACTTACCATGTGAGTGCTGGAAACCAAACCAGGGTCCTCTACAAGAGCAACAAGTGCTCTTAACCACTGAACCACCTCTCCAACCTGAAAGACCAAACTCCATTCAAAAAAAGCAGAAAAGAACTGGGGAGATGGCTCAGAGGTTAAGAGCATTGGCTGCTCTTCCAGAGATCCTGAGTTCAATTCCCAGCAACCACATGGTGGCTCACAACCATCTATAATGAGATCTGGTTCCTTCTTCTGGTGTGCAGTCATAAAACTGTATATGTAATAAATAAATAAATCCTTAAAAAAAAAAAGCCCAAGAGCCAGAAACACACCTTTAATCCCAGCACTTAGGAGGCAGAGACAAGTGGCTCTCTGTGAGTTCAAGGCCAGACTGTCTACAAAGGGAGTTCCAGGACAGCCAGGGACTGTAAGATGCTAACTTCAGGCACAGCCAAACACTGTGGTCTCCTGAGTTTGCCTGTTTTTACTTTTGTTGACTTGATTCATTCCCAGCATGCTCTTCTCTGGAGAAGGTTCCATTTTCCCAGGTTAGCTCCGCAGTAGAGACAACACCTCAGTCCTCCTGGTGCCCTGAGGTTCTGATGCCGCTCATCCGCTTAGCTTGAGTCACGTCAAGTTCCCCGTGTCTGATTGCCTGGGGCTGGAGGCTGCCTACCCCCGTAGCTGTCTGACAGGTGGCTTGGAGCTCCATCTGAACTGTGGTGACCGAGGGATGGGTAGTGCCCTGAAATACAGTCAGGCTGATATTACCCTAAGAAGGGAAGTGGTTGAGACAGCTGCTGCTCCAGCCGGGACTGCGTTTGGCTGCAGTAACAGAAAAGACCATTGCACTGCTAGAAATAGGGTTATTGATTTCAGTCAAAAGAATTCCTGGGCCCGAGTGATACTCAGGGGTGCCTGGTATTCTATAATGCTTGTTAGGTGACTTCTGAGGCCCAGGCAGGAGAGACGAGAAAAATACTGTTCTTCTAGTGGGGTAGGGTGTGCTGGGATCAAACCTACTCCTTGCTTGTAAGGTTTGGCATTTGAACCCAAAAAATACAAACCGACTTCCGTTATTGGCTAGAAATGCTATCCGTTCCCCTTGACTACATGGGAAGTAGGAAACCCAGTATGCTTGTCACACTAGCTGGCCATGGTGGGAGGGAGGTTGGTCGCAGACCCCATAGGTACTGGTGCTCAATTCCCCTACTTAAAGTAGCATCACTCGCATGTGACCAATGCACGTCCTCTTTTATACTTCAGCCCATCTCTAGATCATTTATAGTCCCCGATAAAATATAAATGTAATATAGAAAGTTGTTACACTGTATTGTTTAAGGAATAATGACAAGAACAAGAAGTAGCATTTATACAGGCTGTACTAATTCCAGCACTCGGGAGGCAGAAACAGGTGGATCTGTTTTTGAGGCAGCCTGGTCTACAGAGTGAGTTCAGGGCAGCCAGGATTGTTACACAGAGAAACCTTGTCTTCAAAACAAAAGAAAAAAACAAAAGCAAAAAGTCTGTGCCTGCATCTGTTCAGTTCAGGCTTCCCAAGTATTGATTCGTTGTTGATCAAAGCCGCAGACTGGACCTGAGGACTCTGAGGGCCACTTGTGCTTTCGCTGTCCAGTTTGGGTTGCAGCTGCCAGCAGAAGTGAAGGGAGTGTTCAAAGCCACGAGAAGCCAGCCCAGTGTCTACCACACTGAGACTGGAAGATAACATGCCAGTACTTGAAACATTTTATGCAAACCCTGTTTGTCCCTCAAAGGCTAAACACAAGAGCATAATCCAACCAGGTTTTCTCTGCACAAGCCTGGCTACCATCAAAACAGGACTTGAGACTTCATTGGTATGTGTAGCAAGAGTGTAAACCTGGCAGGCAGATCTAGTCTGTGACCCAAGGGGAGCCCACTCCCAGGCGCTCTCATTGGGGAAGAGGGAACTGTAGGTATCCTGGGCTCAAGACGGGGAGCAAGGCAGGTACGGTCAACAACCTGAGTGGGTTTATATTCCACACTATGGAAACTGAAGCCTAGAAAGTGGCAAGAGTATGAAGTTGAGAGCCGGGTGATGGTGGCACACCTCTTTAATCCCAGCACTTGGGAGGCAGAGGCAGGTGGATCTCTGTGAGGCCAGTCTGGTCTACAAGAGCTAGTTCCATAGTTCCAGGACAGGCTCCAAAGCCACAGGGAAACCCTGTCTTGAGGAACCAAACAAACAAAAAGTGTGATATTGAGCCCAGGGCTCCTCCAGTGCCTTTTCTGCCAGCTTGAGCTCTCTCTGCTTTCTGCTTCCTCCTCTCTGGATACAGAGGCAAGGCTGCTGGATGTGGCCAGAGTCCACAGTGTGACACTCAGATTAGTGAGGAATAGAAAACTCTTAGCAGCTTCACCCAGAGATGGCCTGGGACTGAAGGGTAGACTGAGGCTACTTCATTTTGTTGTCCAGCCGTTCTCAGCATGGACAGTCAGTACCACACCTAGCTGCAAGGGAGACTGGGAAACAAAACCTTTATTTTAGGTGGCCACATAGTTTCATCAGTTGCCTGAAAGAAAGGAACTTACCCTACCAGGGATAAAAGTGACCTCATCAGTCTTCCCGGTGTTCTAGTAAGGGCCCTAAATCCTCCCTGCTCCTGACTCCATACCCACACGCAGGAGTCGGATAGCAGCACAAACCTCAGATGATGTCAGCATTGTCAGAGTGGGGGGGTCCCCTCTCCCGCAGCACCTCTGCATCCTAGATCCTCTTAGCACTGCCCTTCTTCCTCAGCCGGGATTTAGCTGTCACTTCCTGACGAACCTCTTCATCCTCCTCTTATTTTTCTTAAACTTTGTAATGGTGTGTGTATCCATGAATGATGACAAGTGCCCTTAGAAACCAGAGGAGTGCGTCAGATGCCCTGGACCTGGAGATACAGGTGACATAAAATGGGGGCTGGAAACCAAACTTGGGTCCTCTTTATTAAGAGAGCACATCCATTTCTCCAAACCCAGGAACACCTTTTAATTAATTAATTTGTTTATTTACTTATTTATTTGTTGAGATGGGGTTTCTCTGTGTAACCCTGGCTGTCCTAGAACTCACTCTGTAGACCAGGCTGGCCTCAAACTCCGAGATCCACCTGTCTCTGCATCCTCAGTGCTAGGATTGAAAGACGTGTGCCATCGCCGCCCTCTCCACCAATGCCTAGCTTCCCATCAGACCGTCCTCCACACAGTCACCTCACTGTACCGTGTCCCTTGTCCCGTCCTGCTCCCCTTGCTGTGGACTCTGAGTCAATAGCAGAGCTGTTTGATTTAAGGACTGTGCCCCATGGTGGACAGTGGTCAGTAAACACTTGAGCTAGTGAACAGAGAGTGGCCTCAAGAGGAAGGCAAGCATAAGGGGGAATTCCCTCAGAGAAGGCCACAAGTGGAAGGATCATTTATGTTGCTGGTGGCACTTGAGAGAAGTGAGGGATAAGTGTTGGAGGGAGTGAAGGTGGGTCTTATGAGCTTCAGAAAGCTGTGTGTGTGTGTGGGGGGGGGGACCAGGGCAGTAAGATGCCAGACACAGAGATGACTAGGCAGTGTAGTTTTGTATAGTGCGGAGGTACTGTCACCCCAGAGCTAAGATGTCCCCCAGAATTACATGGCTACACTTGTATTTCTGAATAAGTGAGCATCATTTACAGATCTAGGCTAGGTATAGTTCAGTGGTAGAGTAGCCTAGCACACGAGGGACACCAAGAAAAACAGAAGGTTTCACAGCATTTGGACTAAACCTGTCAGAACCACCATTTGAATCAGTCCTGGTAATTCCCAAATGACACGGGCTCCACTTGGGCCCATATGGCTTATAAGAACCTGGGGTCCCTTGCTGCAAACCTGGGGTCATTTTCTAAACACTTCAACAAGTCTGGGTTCAGGTACTTAGTTCCCAAGATAGGTAGCCATGTTTTACAAGAGGATAAAGCTCTTGCCGAGTGCCTCTATGCAGCCTCTGAATGGCCAGTCTGTCCCTGGGGAGAGCTCATCCTCTGGGGTCAAGTTCACTGAGGACCCACAGTGGGTTAGGCACCGTTTGGAATAGATGCATTCACAGAATGGGTCTTCCGCGTCTAAGAAGGATGGGGAAGAGGGAGGGTGTCAGTCAAGTAAGTAAATATTCCAGGACAGTAGAGGGAGAGGCCCTGCCAATGTGGTGTAGGAGAGGTGACATTGAGTGGTCACTGGTCTTGAGTGGGCTCTATGGGAAGAATGACTTCTACACAGAAAGTCAGAGGTGGGGAGACTTCAGGTGGAGAGGACCTGTGTGGGTAGAAGGATAGCTGGGGTGTAGCCCCAACATGGTGTGCTTGGCGTGTCAGTGACAGGCAAAAGCTGGTGTGGCGTGATCAGCGTGTGAGTGAGGGGAGGGAACAGGACAGGCTTGACTGCTGGACCCTGCGCAGGGCTTGGCTTTTCTTAAAGACAGGATCTTCACAAGCTGTAAAAGCCATTTGAACTCTGTACCCACCAGGCCTTTGAATTGTTACCAGGCTGGGTGTGTCTCAAAGGTGGACCCTTCGGTCCTCACTGATGTGGGCTGTGAGAGAAAGGGGGAGTTTTGAGTCAGACATGGTGGCACACACTTGAAAACCCACCCTCAGAAGGTGGAGAAGAGCGTCAGGAGTTCAAAGCTAGCCAGGGTTACATGAGACAACTTAAAAAAAAAAGAGAGAGAGGAGGTGGATTTTGGCCTGAACAGATGGGAGGATTGACTGTGGGAGGAGCAGGTTTGGGATAGAAAGTCTGGGAGCTGTTTGAGGCATGCAAGTCTGAGGAGACCTAATACATGCGGACTTGGAGAGTTGGCAGTGACTCTGGGAGCTGTACATATGTAAATGTAATATTTCACACAGTGGGAGGGCCCATGCCAGCTTTCCTGTGTTCTGGGGGCTGAGCTGAACCTGACGGCGACTGTGGCCTCTTCCAGGAGATCATGCATGCCCTGAAGATGACCTGGCACGTGCATTGCTTCACCTGCGCTGCCTGCAAGACACCTATTCGCAACAGAGCCTTTTACATGGAGGAAGGGGCGCCCTACTGCGAGCGAGGTATCCGGTGGCCTAGGAAGTCGAGGAGGGCCTTGGTGGGGGGCAGTGTGACTACAGACCCTCTTTTCTATCACCCCGTTTCCAGACTATGAGAAGATGTTTGGCACAAAATGTCGAGGCTGTGACTTCAAGATTGATGCTGGAGACCGCTTCCTGGAAGCTCTGGGCTTCAGCTGGCATGACACATGCTTTGTTTGTGCAGTAAGCACGCCCCTCCCCCCCAACGTGTGTGTGTGTGTGTGTGTGTGTGTGTGTGTGTGTGTGTACCTCACCACCCCACACCCATCTCCTGCCTGCCTGAGGAATGTAGGGCAGGTTGGGAAAGGGCCTCTCCCACTCCCCTCAGCCTCGTGTGACTGGACCTTCGTTGTCCCCAGATCTGTCAAATCAACCTGGAAGGAAAGACCTTCTACTCCAAGAAGGACAAGCCCCTTTGCAAGAGCCATGCCTTCTCCCACGTCTGAGCGCCTTCCACATACTGTTGCCACCCCACCCTGCCTGAGGGGTGAAAAATCGAGAGTGATCACCCTCAACATTTCTGGGTAGGGCTGGCAGTGGTTGTCCCAGCCCCAACTCCTGGCCGGATCCTGGGGTTCCCTGAATCCTGTTTCACCTTCTTCACAATCCCCCTACTTCACTTCCTCCACCACCGTCACTCCCTGGTGCTGGTCGTACTAGGCCTGGTTCCAGTGCCACAATAAACCTGTATCTAGCTGTCTGCCTCCCCCTTTGCATCTGAAATGGTAGGGCTTCAAGCACAGAAGGAGGGCGGGGGTTAAGACGGTTCTTGGAGCTGAGCCTCTTAGTGAATGTCGAAACTGCATGGTCACTGGGAAGACGGTACAGTGTGGACCCCATGTGCTGGGTCCAGTGCCCACAGCTGGGAAGGAAGCTGCTGGTCAGGCCTGCCTTGGAGGTTAGAGTAGGTAGTAGGGGGTGGGTGTGCAGATGTGGGATGTGGCCAGCAGTGACTACCAGGTGACCCGCCTGTCATCTGCTGGAGATGGGAGCCAGAGTGCCAGGCTCAAGCCCTAGACAGGGGTCTGAAATATCCGAGGATGGAGTAAACACAGAGGTTCCGGGGAAAGGCAGTGTTGGAGACGGGACCCCATGACAAGCCGCAGGGATCCCTGGACAATGTTGCTAGGAATCTAGTATGTACCAGAAGCTACCTACCCGTCATATGATCATCCCACCCACCTTGCCAGGTGCCTGCAATTCTTTTTTTTTTTTTTTTAACTTTATTTTATATGCATTGGTGTTTTGCCTGCAAGTATGTCTGTGTGAGGGTGTTAGATCCTCTAGAACTGGAGCAACAGACAGCTGTGAATTGCCACGTGATTGCAAGGAATTGAACCCAGGTCCTCTGGAAGAGGGGCCAGTGCTCTTTAACCACTGAGCCATCTCTAGCATACAATTTTTATTTTTTTAAGGCAGGGTTTCTCTTGTGTGGCCCAGAACTCACACTGTAGACCAGGAATCAAACTCAGATTCCACTGCCTCTGCCTGCTGAGTGCTGAGATTAAAGGTGTGCACCACCACCGCCAGCTTTTTTTTTCCTTTTAAGAGTTATTTTTATGTATGAACGTTGGCTTGTATGCATGCATGTATGTATGCAACTTGCATGCCTAGTGACCCTGGAGGCTAGAAGAGGTCATCAGATTCTCTGCAACTGGACTTTAGAAGATTGTTAGCTTCCATTGAGTGCTCGGACACAGACCTCAGTCCTCTGAATGACTCCTGAGCCTTCTCTCCAGCTTGATGCAGTTGTTCATTGTTTGGTTTTTGAGACAGGGTCCTTCTATGTAGCCCTGGGTGTCCTAGAGCTCTCTGTGTAGACCAGGCTGGTCTCTAACTCACAAAGATCCACCTGCCTTTGCCTCTGGAGTACTAAGATTAAGGGTGTGGGCCACCATGCCCAGCCTTGTTTGTTTTCTGAAACAGCTTCTGGCCTGGAACTCACTGTTACCTGGCCGGCTTCAATTTAAGTTGGTTCTGCTGTCTTAGCCTCCCCAATGTAGCATGAGCTATCTGTTACACCCTGGGTCTCTTGGTTACCTCTTTTTTTTTTTTTATTGTTTTGTTTTGTTTTTTAAACAAAGTTGAACGTGTCCCAAGGTTGGCCTTGGACTTACTATGTAGCCCGGGGAAGATCCTGGACTTCAGATTCCCCATCTCTATCTCTTACGTGCTAGGATAACACACCTGCTTTTATACAATGCTGGGAATCGAACCCAGGGCTTTGTACATCCTAGGCAAGGCAAGGACTCTGTCAGCTGAACTGCACTTCCAACGTTGGTTACTCGTTTTCTAGATGAGGCGCAGAAATGTTAAGACATGTAACTAAGGTAACCAGTTCAGCCTCTGAGCCAGGCAAAAAACTGGCTATATTTCTCTAAGACTGTCTGGTACTGAGTAGTGTTTTAAGCCTGTATCCCTCCAGGAAGCCTTCTTCTGCCCTGTGCCATTTATGGCTTTTTGGTTGGTTAGTTTTTTGGGGGGGAGGGGTTGTTTTGTTTTGTTTTCTCGAGACAAGGTTTTTCTGTAGTCCTGGCTTTCCTGGAACTAGCTCTTATACACCAGGCTGGCCTCGAACTCACAGAGATCCACTTGTCTCTGCCTCCCGAGTGCTGGGATTAAAGGTGTGTGCCGCCATTGCCTGGCTCATTTATTTATGGTTTTTTAATTTTATGTGTATGGGTCTTTTACCTACATAGATGTACATATTCCACTATCATGTGGTGCCTGTGGAGCCCGAAAGAGAACTTTGGGTCCCCTGGAACAGGGGTTACAGATGGTTGTTCATGCTGAGTGCTGGGAATTAACCCCGGTCGTCTGGAAGAGCAGCAGGTGTTCTTAACCACCAAGCCATCAATCACTCCTGCTGTATTTGATGGGTTTGGGTGAATTTCCATAGAGGCACATCATTCCCCCAGGGGTTTCTACTTCCCACTGATGCCTACTACCATTCTAGAGGGTCTGTCATCTCCTGTCTCACACCTGAACAGGTGAGGAGCTGAAGAGGGGACTCAGGTCAGAACAGCCTAGTGTGCTCACCTCATGTGCTCTTGGCGGGGGAGGGGATCCCTGTTTTAAGTACCTTCAGGCTGATCCCTTTTTATGAAAACAAGGTCTCAGAGGGCTGGTCTTTGCTCCTGCAGAGCCTAGAACATCTGTTATATAGAAAGAGTAAATGTTTGCTTAATGAGTGAAGTTACGGATGTTTAGAAGATAGTTCTAGGAAGCAGCTGAAGATGCCTGTCTAGATTCACCTTAGCTTCAATTCAGGAGTGAACTTGGGGCAGGGGCAGGGCACTCAATATAAATGCTTGTAATTAACGCCTGGGGAGAGCTGAGGCACAGGCCCCAGCAGGTAACACCAGAAGTGAATCAGGTAGAATGTGTTAGTCTTTCAACACAGACATGCTGAGCATATTAAACACAGCGTCTCAGTTCACAGGGAAATGTACTCTCCTGCTTCTCCTGAACTGCGAGGCCCTCTCCGTCCATTCTCAGTTTCCATGGATACCAAAGAGCAAGAGCACAGGGTGGGTGGCAATTGTTGCCAGGCGCCCTTCTGGGGGTAGCCACCCCTTGTCCTGAACACAGGGCCGCCATGTCCTCCAGGCAGTGAAGCCAGATTTACCAGATAGCAACAATGTGTGCGCGTTCACGTGTTTTGTGTGAAAGCTGGTTTTTTAGTATTGGCAGTTGCACTTTATTTTTTTAAATCCTGTTTTAAAAATAATAAATGCCAGCCAGATCCAGTGTGAGGATGGCTAGGGACTCAGCACAGAGAACGGACAAGGGACCTGAAACAGTAACACAGAACTGGGCACAGAAGGCAGAGGGAGCCGCCAGGGACAGCATGGCAGCCTGCAGGACCTCCACACAGGCCAAGAGCATGTCCAGAAGTTGCCAACAATGTCAACCAGGCAGATAAGGCCAAGGAGTCCCCGTGGTATTTCAAAACAAGGTGACATTTGCCAGATCAGTTTAGCAAAGAGCTGGGCCCCTGCCAGCATTAAAGAGGAACAGGTGTATGTGTGGAGAGCATGCAGACAGCTCTTGAGAGGCTTGTGAAGGTGTGGGGGGGTGTAGAGGCCCACAGTCAGTTAAGCACAGGATAAGGGTAGGGAGCAGAGGTGACTGAAGGCCTCAAGAGGGACGTGAGGAAGGGCAGTGAGGGCCACATCAGAGGAAAGCTGACGCAGGGGAGAGAAATGCCAGGCACTGTCAAGCAAGTGCTTAGGACCTAACTACTCTGTCCTGTCATCTGTTAAGAGTGATGGTTCAAAGCTGGGTGGTGGTGGCGCACGCCTGTAATCCCAGCACTCAGGAGGCAGAGGTAGGCAGATCTCTGTGAGTTTGAGTCCAGCCTGGTCTGCAAGAGCTAGTTCCAGGACAGGCTCCAAAAAAACCCTGTCTCAGAAAAAAAAAAAAAAAGAGTGATGGTTCAAGCCAGGCATGGTGGCATAGGCCTGGAATCCCAGCATTCTGGGAAGTCGAGAAAGGAGGAGGGTGGGAATTCAATGGCAGACTGCTGCAGAAAGCTAGGCAGGCCAGAGCTGTAGGTTAAGACTGTCTTTAAAAACTAAGAAACAGGAATCTAGGTTCAGAAAGGCAATGACATGTCCAGAGCCAGCCAGAATGGCAAGAAATCACTATTCTATGGACTAGAGGTGCAGGGACTTCCCACTGAGTTCCTGTACCTCCCCCCACCCTTTGATAGCCTAGCCACACACCCCCCACCCCCAGCTCCGAGATCACCCTGTACTCAAGCTGGAGTGTGAAGCTGTGCGACTCGAGCCTACACTTGGAAATAAATGTCTTTATGCCAGGCAGGAGAGGCCATTAGCTCCCTTGGAGAGAGAGCAGTGTCCCCAGCCAACAGGGTAGAGTCCATAGCAGGGGTTGGCGTGGGCAGCTGGTGAGAGGGGCTTTTTCCTACTTTGGGCAACTTGAACTCCTTTGCAGTCAGCAGGGAGGGGTGGTGGCGGGCGAGGGACTGCTTCTCCAGAACTGATGTTTCTGTGCTGCCTCTTCAGGGCTCAGCCCCACATGGCCTGGGTACACACAGAAGGCGCACATCCGCCTCTCCGAGCCTCGCTACGGGAAAGGAAAGGAGGCGGTAGGCTAAAGGGCCTGGTGGCTGTCCACCCTGGGAGCAGCAGGTACAGAGATCCACAGCCATCCTTGAAAATATTGAAAGGGGGGGCTCAGTGGTTAAGAGCATTGCCTGCTCTTCCAAAGGTCCTGAGTTCAATTCCCGGCAACCACATGGTGGCTCACAGCCATCTGTAATGAGGTGCCTTCTTCTGACCTGCAGAATATTGTATACATAATAAATAAATAAATATTTAAAAAAAAAAGAAAATATTGAAAGGGGCCGAGCGGTGGTGGCGCACACCGTTAATCCCAGCGCTCAGGTGGCAGAGACAGGAGGATTTCTGTGAGCTCGAAGAGTTCCAGAACAGGCTCCAAAACTACAGCAAAATCCTGTCTCAAAAAAACCAAAAATAAATAAATAGAGAGTATTGGAAGGGGCTCCTTCCCAGTGGGAAGAGAGGCTTAAACTAGAGTCCGAGACCATCATAGTGGGAAGCAATGCTTGCCGGCTCAGAGCCAGGAGAAAACTCAGGACACCTAGTGCTTAGGAGATTTCAAGAGTAGTCCAGGAGGGCCCAGGACCTTTTGCTCAGCCCTGGGGCCAT